GTGGTTGGCCCCGCACGACCGGGACGAGCGCTCCTGCAAAGGCTGCGGCAACTACGGCAAGCACATCGACATGTTCGGCTACTACTGCGCCGTCTGGGACCGCAACATGGCCGTCGCGGGGCGCACCATGGCCGAGCGGGCCTTCGCGCGCGCGGAGCGCATGCTCGCCGCCGCGCAGGAGGGCGTCGACGCCTGGGAGGAGCAGATCGAGGCGCAGGATGCGCTGGTCGACTCGCTGCGCGAGGCCCTCGACGCCGCCGAGGCGCGCCGCGAGGACCTCGACGAGAAGCTGGCGGCGCAGCAGGCGCTGTGCGAGCGCGCCGAGAGGCAGAAGATGGCGCTCATCGACGTGATGCGGGCGGCGGAGTATCGCGAGGAGGCGGAGGCTGCGGCGATGGAGAACGCGGGCGAGGAGGCGGGTAACTTTGACGCGGAGATGGAGGGGCCGGAGCGCGTGCAGGCGCTGGATCCGCATTTTTGGGAGGCGGGCACGGAGTGGTGGGATGAGGAGACGGATGACGAGCCGGAGGAGCTGAGCTTTGAGCAGTCGACGGCGTACTATGCGTGGGAGCTGGCGTACAAGCGGAGGATCGCTGGGCGTAGGACGCATGAGGCGGAGCGGCAGCATGGACGGCGGAAGCGGGCGGAGCGGCAGCTGTACGTGGAGAGGAGGGTGCGCGAGGCCGAGGCAGCTGGGAGGATGATCGATGCAGATCACTGCGATCACCTTGTGCGCTCGCACATACGGGCAAGGGAGCAGCAGGGCAGGCAGCACGCAGCTCAGGAGTACGCCCAGGAGCAGAGACAGCGGCTGAGCCGGGTGGAGGCGTGGGCTGCCGGCGTGCAGACGCCTACGCCGGGCCCGTCGGTGAAGCAAGAGGACGAGCTGTCGGAGCTGCATTCGCCGGCCATGTTATCGCGGGTTTCTGTCAAGCGGGAGGGGACGGGCGAGGATCTGTGGCGGGTGGCTTCGGCTGTGCCGGATCGGACGGACGTGAAGCAGGAGATGAAGGTGGAAGAGGACATGGGGGAGGATCCGGAGGAAGAAGAAGAGGATGAGGGGGAGGAGGAGGAGGAAGTGGAAGTGATGACGAGAGCGCCGAAGAAGGAGGAGCCTGAGCCAGAGTCGGAGCCGCAGCCGGGGCCAAGCCGGAGTATCCCCGCGACTCCCCGCGCCCCGGCTTCTCCAGCTGCTTCCGGCCGGCCGCAGCGAACGACCCGGCGCACACGGAGGACGCAGCCGTACCCGAGTTGAGGGGAGGCTAAGACGCAAAAGTGATGAGACCCATGTTTTACGCGAAATTTCACTTCACACTTTCGAGCGAGAATACTACAATACAATCAATATCAGTCATATTCCTCCGGTCAGCTACCCGCCAAATGAGGAATCCTCAAGGTTCATCCTCCGAACAAGGCGATGCATCAATGACGACGATTGGGTTTGGGTACAGACACCAGACGAAGAACATAACCCAATCCGATCGATTGGCGTGCTTCCAAAAGCACAGGCAACTAGCAAAAAAAGAAAGCACGATTCCAGTTCCTTGGCTTCCAACCACGCACCATATGCTCGCATGGCCCGAGTCTCACTCGGGAGCGGGAGCGGGCCGGCGGGGCCACATATGCACCGTCACATCCGCCGCCGGCGCCGGGAATGCACACGCAAACCGCCGAACGAAACGAACACTGTGCGCACAGTTTGCAAACCCTCTTGAATCATTGCACAAGACTTATCAAACATATGTTATGAATTCCACCTTGCGGAGCTTCAGACCCAAGAAAACCCCGTTGGAGCGGACCTCCTGACCCCCTTCTCGCCTCGGAGCTACCCCTGTCACGGGACCCTGCCAAAACCCAGGGTCGTCGGACCAGGTAGGGGTGCTCCAGGAGCTCGTTTCCCGGACGCCGCAGCCGAAAGTGCGAGTTTCTTCAACCCAGCAAGAACCCGCCGTCTCCGTAAAACGGGGCTCACCTGAAGACGCCTTGCCGCTTTTGGAAGCAATCTCGGTGGAGAGCTACCCAAAACCTAATAGATTTTATGTAAATTCTGGGGCCTCGTCTTATGGAGATCATCAAAAATATCCTTTTGTTTTCTTCTTCTGACGGAGCAACGGCCGCGCTGCAAGTTGCAACGGGTGTGCGTCCCCCCCCCCCCCCCATCCCCCATGCACCTTGTGCAACGAATCGGCACAGAAGGCGGCCCCAATGAAACAGTGGAGGTTCTAGAAGTTCTCTGGTCCGTCACTCGCCCGCTCTGTGTGTCTTGAACATGCCCACCCGGAATGTCAGGGTCGCATGCGTTCCGGCAGGCCGCGCAGTAGTGTTGGGAGTTTATTACCAGGCCGCTGGGAGCGAGGAGCTGCCGGGTGACATGGCTTGCGAGTCGTGTGTGCTTGGGCGTACATACGTATGCAGCACGCATCACCGCGTGACGTGACGGATTTGTGAAAGATGTCGGTGAGGATGGAGAGGCATTACTCGTCATCACTGCGGCTACGGATACAGCATGCACAGCTGGAGTCAATTGCAAAGAGTCGGTCAAGCACAAATCCCTCAAACTCGTATCACCAGAGCATCACAGGTTTATTCACTGCGAAATGTGCTTCTTTCATACGCAGCAGGGTCCAAACCTTTAGAACCCAAGGTTCCGGTAAAACTCATCTGGCATATACTAGATGGAGCTCCAATATCCGTCATCGCTAACTCGTAACGAGCCCAAGCTATCCACACCTTGGCTGGCTCTGCCCAACCCCTGGCCTACTTGCACAAGAACCCACCGCAAATCTTTCGAAGCGGGAACCGTGGACACAAAAAAAGAGGATCGTGACCCTTTTTTCCTCTGCTGCTGTTGGTGGGCAGACGTCAGAACCCCGGCCTCGTTGCCAATGAAGCTGCGCCGTTTCGCGAGGTTCGATTGCTTTTTGAACCTGACACCATCCCCATCCATTCCCATGGGCCCCCTTCCCCTCCCCCATTTACCACGTTTTTCCCGCCGTCCACCTTTGATCCCTACATTTGCTTTTGCATTCTGGACTATCTCGTGATAAACCCATCTCCACCGCAGAGGCAAGATCGATCTTGGAGATTCACAAGAAACCTGACAAAAGAGAGGTGAGGCAGATTGTCAATCTTCCGGATCCCCTCCCCTGCCTAGCTCTCTTAGGGCTGAACATGGGAATGGGAGATGGTTCCCGTCATTGAGAAGCTTGATTGCTTACACTACAATGCCACAGCCACACCGGGTCCCCTCCTCCCCCGACGGACAGGGACGGAAGACAGTGAAGCAAGCTCGAGCAAAGCACAAACATACGCCTGATCCGACCAGACCGGAAGACCGAGATTGGAACCATCAATATACCGGAAAGTGCGGGACGGGCAAGCACGGGACAACATACAACCACCGACGCGAGACACAAGCCAGTCCGGCCTCAAAGCCGGCCATGGACCCCGACGCCTGCCGCAACTGCGGCCACTCGGGCAAACACACCACCTTCCTCGACCACCGCTGCGCGATCCACGAGCGCGACGACGCCGAGCGCGACAAACTACAAGCCGACGCCGCCCTCGAGCGCGCGCGCTCCCTCTGCGAGACGTCCCTCACCCTGATGAAGCGGCAGATGCAGGAGCTCGAGGACGCCAACGAGGCCATCGAGGCGCTCGCGGCCGCGCTCGCGGCTGCGGAGGACCGCCGGGAGAGGGTGCGCCGCGACCTCGGCGCGCACGGCGACGTGTGCCTGACGGCGCGGTCGAACCTCGAGGCCGCGGAGGAGATGGCCATCGCGGCGGCGGGGCGGTATTTTGAGGCGGGCCGGGCGGTCAGCGCGCTGGAGGAACAGGAGGCGTTGGAGGCGAAGAGCAGTGAGCCGAGCTGGGAGCGGGAGCAGCAGCAGCCAGAGGAGGAGGGTGAAGAGGAAGAGGGGGATGCGAGAAGGTGGCAGCGGAGTAACGAGCGGTTCTGCAAGTGGCTGCGGCAGAGCGAGGCGCAGCGGCAGATTATGAAGTCGTCGTGGACGAAGCTGCGCGTGGCGGAGCGGCTGGCGGGCGAGGGTGCGGAAGTGGACGAGGAGCAGGTTGCGAGGGAGAGAAGGGTGCAGGAGTGGGCGGCGGCGCGGCGGAGCGATGTGCCGCCGGATGAAGACCCGACGCTGGTCACGGAGGAGGGCGCCGAGTCTGAGCCGGCGGCGCCGGTGGTGGCTGCTGCTGTGGCGGTGGCCGTGCCGCCTACGCCTGCGGCGACGAGGTCCGGAGCCGCGAGGCGGGCTGCTGCGGCGGCGCCGTTGAAGACGCGCGGCCGGAGCGGGAGGACTGCTGCGGCGGCGGCGGCTCCTGTTACTGCGCCGCCATCGCCGACGAAGACGACGACCACGACGACAGGGAGGGCGCTAAGGACGGCGAGGAGGGTGGAGAGCCAGACGCGGAGTGAGCCGAGCAGGCCTACGACGGCGACGAGGGCGAAGAAGGAGCCGGTGACGGCGAATCAGAAGGCTGCAGCGACGAGGGTGACGAGGGCGGCGCGGACGGGGAAAACGGCAGCGGCAGCCGCGGAGGCGCCGGCGACCCACGGAGCGAGTGCCGGGAGCTCCGGGGCGCTTTCGGCGTCGGGGAGGCCGCAGAGGGTTACGAGGAGGAGGAGTAGGGTGCAGCCGTACCCGACGCCGGCGGCGCAGCCGAGGTGGAAGTAGAGATTTGTGGTTGTTGATGTAGATTGTGTTGTCTTTATATACCCAGTTCGTTCGACCGGGGCAGGGTTGGGGGGCACCGGAGTTGAGGGATTGAATGATACACGCGGAGTTTAGATACCAAAACTTTAGACTGAATATTCTCTCATTTATTCCATGACATCTACACTGCATTAATCACTGAGTGAGATAAAGATAAGCCCAAAACATGGCGATGGTATCTAATCAGCAGCATCATGATTATGTAGATAAGAAACCTCCTAGGACGGATTACTTAAACCCCCATGGCGTCATCCAACCCATCCATCGCGACATGCAACTCTAAAAGAACCTCCACACCGAATCCGCGCCTCTCTTCTTCTTGAAGCCGCTGTACCACCTACACAGCGGGTACATCACGCTCATCACAAACGCCCAGTTGAGCGCCCACACCCACACATTGTCCACCCCCGTCGCGGGCCGTCCGTCCGGCGGCGGCGGCAGCCCCGTGTCGCGCCCGACCAGCGCCACCAGCAACAAACACATGCTCATGAGAATAACCATGTGCAGCACGTAAAAGAACAGCGCCGACGTCCCGAAGGCGAGCAGCACGCCCAGCCACCGCGTCGCGAACTTGGGCGGCACGGCTGAGAAAGCAGCGAGAAGGAAGAAGGTGCCCGCTAGGGTGAAGCAGTAGAAGGCGACGTCGGGCGGGTACTTTACGATGTAGAAGAAGGACGCTGGGGACGCGAGGTACGGGTTTGTGGCGGGGTGGGCGAGGTGCTCGGGCGCGCGGAGGCAGTGCTCGGAGAGGTTCCCGACGCGCAGCAAGCGGGTGAGGACGAAGGCGGCGAGGAAGAGCAGGCCGGCGGTGATGTTGGCGCAGACTTGGGACGGAACGGGGAGGTGCGGGCGGGCGGTGACGAGGCGGGCGTAGAGGAGGCCGAGGATGGCGAAGGAGAGCCAGGCGAGAGGCGGGAAGGGAGAGACGACGTGCGGGGAGATGACTTCGAAGAACCAGAAGCGCCAGAAGTCGTTTGCGTAGGAGGTGGTGGCGGTGGTGGTGCAGGTGCCGTGGGTTGGGGAGAGCCAGATGTTCCACCAGATGGTGACGAGGGAGAGGGCGAGGAGAAGGGCGTTGTGGGCGTGCCAGGAGATGGTGGTCGCTTTGGAGGAGGGTTTGGTGCCGGAGGGGGTGTGGTGGCCTGCGTGTTCGAGCAGAGGTTCTCTCTCGCGGCCGCCTTCATCTGTGAAGATGTACCGGTCGAGGAGGGCGGCGAGAGCGGGCTCCGTGGCTGCGATACCGAGCCAGAGAAGCCCAGCGAGGACGTAGTCCACCCCCAGCGCGACGAGGACGACGTTCATGAACCAGAACCTGCCACCCGTGAGCACGAGCCCGAGGACGACCGACACCAGCGTCAGCACGGCGCCGCGAACGGCAAAGTGGCGGGCCATGCGCGCGGCGGACCAGCCGAGCCTGCTGCGGGAGCGGCCGAAGTAGACGACGCCCATGCCGAGGAGGAAGGTGAAGCCCGGGGCGCAGAGGTGGGAGAGGGTGCGGACGAGGTAGCCGAACCACCAGTTCCAGGAGTCGACGGGGACGGAGTCGCGCTCGCCGTCGGGCGGGCCCGTGGAGTGGCGCCAGGCGTTGAGGCCGACGGTGTTGTGGTCGAAGGCCATGAAGAGCATCAGTAGCCCGCGGAGGAGGTCCGGGGCGAGGGCGCGCTGGGGCGCCGGGACAACGGGTTTGGGTGGTGGTGATGGTGTGGTGTTGTATGCGTAGCCGTTGGAGGCGGTTTCTGCGCCGGACTCATGATTGTTGGTCTGGGCCTCGAGTCCGGGCGCGGACTCTGGAGGCGGTGGCATCGTGGTGTTGGGGTGTTGGACTATCGTGGGAACATCACGAAAGGGAAGTGAAGGTGAGAAGAAGAAAATGGTGCTTATTTATGGAGAATGGGCTCCGAGGGAATGGAAACTGGGGACGTTGCCCAAAGGTCCAAAAAGTCCGAGCCGCGCGCGGTGTCTTAGCGTGGGCGTGGTGGACTTTGGACGGGCGGACTGTTGAATGGATGACGTTCGCTTTATTCAGCACATCTGGGGAAACGCGACTTTCCAGTGTCTCAGGGGTGGGCGGCCTAATGTATTTCGAGTCATCCAAAGTCCACCTAGAGAGGAACATAGGGCTGCATTGTTGATGGCCTTTGGGGTTTACAAGTTCAATGTTCCACATCTAGCCCTCGTTCTTGTCAACTGGTCCTGTCTTAATTGGATCTTCCTGCATACGAACAACCCTGTTCGTGGTCTTCCTCGGAGACTTTTAGCTTCTGTCATCTCGTTCAAAGACGCGCTCGGTGCGTCAGACGGAGCAACCGGAGCGTCCGGCCGACTGGGAGAAATTTGCCGCTGACCAATTGAATTCCGCCTCGCCGGCGCAGAGGCATTCAGGGGGCTGCTTACTGCGGACTTTGGGGTGAGAAATCCTTTGTGATTTTCGCTTGGTTCCCTCTTTGATTGAGGAACATTTTTTCGATAAGAGAGCGTGTCCCTTTTCAGCCAGCACTTTATGACTCTATATGTCAGCGCCTGTTCGTCTAGAACAAAAGGTTTAGCTATGTGGGTAGGTGCTATTTCCTACTATGATTTTTGGACAGAACATAAATAATGGAAGTTACAGTGTACAACATGCTGGCCCACATGTCTCAACTGAAGACGAGAGTACAGTGATTCAATGAGTCATGGACGCCCTTCCATCTCTTCGGCAGAGTTCGTTGTTCAACAGAGACAACGTTCGTGAAGATGTCAAACGCCCGGCCCGAGATAAACCTTGCCGCACCACGCTCTTATCGGCCCTCACCTTACCCTCCGGCCTCCCCCCTCCCGGCCTCTCTTCCGAACAGCGGGGCCCCGGCCAGCCCATATCTCCCGATTAAGCAATCTTTAGCACCCCATTGGTGAAGCCATCCGGAGAACATCTTAGCTCCAAAGTCGTCATCGCCTGGCGCTGTCACCCCTCACTGCCAAAATGCGGAGGGCCCCGCCAACACCAGCCGTTCCGAGTTCCGACCTCCGCGATGGTCCCCCACTCGGATCTTCAACAGCTTGAATCGCGGGGTGATAAATGAGCCCCATGAACCGCAGATGTTCACGATGAGCTGCCTCTACAATTGAACTCTCTTCACATCAACCCGTCAAAATGGCTGAAAAAACAGACACCGAAGCAATCCTAAAGAGCCTCACGCTCGAGGAGAAAGTATCTCTCTCTGTAACATCCCTCTCACACAAAACATCTCACTAACCGTTCACCAGATCCGCCTCCTCGCCGGCCGCAACTTCGTCGAAACAGGCGACGTCCCCTCCAAAGTCCCCGCCATCAAGACCACCGACGGGCCCAACGGCACCCGCGGCGCCGCCATCGACGGCAGCACCAAGGCCGCCTGCTTCCCCGCCGCCTGCAGCATCGCCGCCACCTTCGACCGCTGCCTCGCCCGCGCCGTCGGCGCCGCTCTCGCCCAGGAGTCCCGCGCCAAGGGCGCCCGCTGCCTGCTCGCGCCCACCGTCTGCATTCACCGCCACCCGCTCGGCGGGCGTAACTTCGAGTCCTACAGCGAGGATCCGTTTCTGGCCGGCAAGCTCGCCGCGGAGATGATCACGGGCTGTCAGGGGTTGGGTGTCTCGGCGACGATTAAGCACTTTGTGGCAAACGAGCAGGAGACGGCACGTACGACGGTCGACGAGACGATTTCGGAGCGCGCGTTAAGGGAGATTTATCTACGCCCGTTTGAGATTGCCGTGAAGGAGGCGAAGCCGTGGGCGGTTATGTCGGCGTATAATCTGGTCAACGGGGTGCACTGCGACTCGAGCGAGTGGCTGCTGAAGGAGGTGTTGAGGGGGGAGTGGGGGTGGAAAGGGCTGGTGATGAGCGACTGGGGCGGGACGAACTCCGTCGCGGAGGGGATCAAGGCCGGCTTGGACATTGAGATGCCCGGCCCGCCGAGGATACGCAAGCCTGCTGCGGTGCTGGCGGCGGTCGAGAAGGGGGAGCTCACGGAGGATGTGATTGACGAGCGGATGCGGACGATCCTGGAATGGACGGAGCAGTTGAACGGGTTCCGCGATCCGACTATCACCGTTGAGAAGGCGATCGACCGGCCGGAGCACCGGGCCCTCATCCGCGATGCCGGGGCGCGGGGCATCGTGCTGCTGAAGAACGATGGCGGCATCCTGCCCCTGACGAAGGAGAAGGTCAGGGGCAAGAAGATCGCCTTGATCGGGTACGCCAAGGATGGTCTCGCGCACGGCGGTGGGAGCGCGAGTGTGAATGCGCATTACCGCCTCCCGCCGTGGGACGCACTCCACGCCGCTCTTGGGGAGGACGTCGAGTTCAGCTACGCCAAGGGCGCGCACAAAGAGCGCCTCCTCCCGCCCATCAGCGCGGACGGCCGGGTCGGCAAGATTGTCGGCCTCGACGGCCAGCCCGGGTTCAGCAGGCTGTTCTACGACTTCCACGGCCAAGCGGGCGACGAGCCCGTCTCGGTGCTGCACAGCTACCCGAACTCGGCGTACTCGCCGCTCGGATCGCAGGAGTCGATGTGGAAGACGCTTGATATTGTCGGCGACTTCACGCCGGCGGAGTCGGGGACGCATTACATCGCCTGCTCCGGCATCGGGCCCACGCAGGTGTTTGTCGATGACGAGGTTGTGTTTGAGCAGACGGGCAACTGCGCGGATCCCATGGGTGCGCTGTTCCTCGCAGCCAACGAGCCGGAGATCAAGCACGCTTTCGAGGCGGGCAGGACGTACCGCCTGCGCATCCACAGCAAGCCGCCGACGAAGATCGGTCTGGAGATTCTGGAGGGCAGGACGGGTGTGCGGATGGGCTTCGCGCTTGAGTCGGATCACGATGCCGATCTGCAGGGCGAGGCGGCGAAGGTAGCCGCCGCCGCGGACCTGGCGATCGTGTTCACAGGCCACGATCCGCAGTGGGAGACCGAAGGACGCGACCAAGAATCCTTCCACCTCCCCTGCGACCAAGACGGGCTGATCAGCGTCGTGGCGAAAGCGAACAAGAACACGATCGTAGTCAACTCCACCGGCGTCGCGGTAGCCATGCCCTGGCTGGGCAGCATCTCCGCGCTGGCCCAGTCCTGGTTCCCGGGGCAGGAGTGCGGCAACGCCATCGCGGACGTCCTCACGGGCGCGGTGAACCCCGAGGGCAAGCTGCCCGTCAGCTTCCCGGCGCGGGTTGAGGACGCGCCGGCGCACGGGAACTTCCCTGGTGAACGTGTCGACGGGCAGTTGAGGGTTACGTATGAGGAGGGCGTGTTTGTGGGGTACAGGCACTACGACCGCGTTGGAAAGTCCAAGGTGAACTTTCCCTTTGGCTTTGGGTTGTCCTACACGAGCTTCGAGTACGCCAACTTTGCTGTGGCCAAGAAGGGCGGTGATGAGTTTGATATCACGGTGGAAGTTACTAATACCGGCAAGCTTGAGGGCGGCGCTGTGGTGCAGGTTTATGCTGGCAAGGCGGCTCCGTCGCCGGATACACCAGTGAAGGTGCTTGTTGCGTTCGACAAGGTTCGACTTGCGCCGGGTGAGACGACATCTGTGCAGCTGTCTGTCGCGGCGAAGGACTTTGCGTCGTTTGACGAGGCGGGAAGGGAATGGGTTGTTGAGGCTGGAGAGTACAACTTCACTCTCGGAGAGTCTGCAGCCGAGACAATTTCTGTGGTCGCAGTGGCTCTAGATCGGCTGACATATCAGCGCTAGAATGGAATATTGCAAAGGTTATGAGACAGAGTTATGAAATACCTCATAGAAAATGTAACTGCTTCATCGCAGTCGAGATGGCGGCCTCAATCTAAGATCGAATACTCACGTGCCACGAATGTGTAGCAAATGGCCATTGCAACCTACCTATGCTCACAATTGACGTGTCTCGGACGCCTGCATCATAGTCATAGTAGCACGAAAACCCACAGCCACGACTGCGCCCTGTCCAAGAAATTAGAATGAAATTGGAAGTGTTTTCTAAGGAGACATGCGCCGGCCAAAAAAAGAGCGGACACTCTCTAATCGATACCACTACTTCAACGTCAGCTACGCTATGAACAGGCCCAAAAATTCGCAAAATAATATTCTTAAAATAGCCTGAAGGTTAAGGAATCTTATGAATTTAATGTTTAGATAATTCGGCTTTCTAAATCGTGGGTAGCTGACTGTGAGTGGAGACTGGGAAGCTGGACACTGCGCTGAATTTTGAACCCCCCCCCCCCCCCCCGGGGAAAGTCCCAGGACAGGGCCATTTTTGCGGCTCTTGGCTAAGACAGCGAATGTCATTAACAAATCTGCCAGCTTGAGTTCGCCGGAGATTACACACATTTGAGCGGCTGCCTGAGCAAATGGCGAACCATCAGTCCGAATGCGGCCATTTGGGGTCAATGTTGTAGGCACCGAGAGACATCAAGACGCCTCTGATCCGACTTCGCCTGGGCTTCGCCCCTACGAGAAGAAAACTAGAAATCGGCGTCGGATCCTGGCCCCGACATTAATGTCCGTCATGTATTCGTCCAGCATAGAATCCAAAAAAAAAAAAAAAATGGGCTTCCATTTCAACCCAAACATGTTCTACACCATTCGATGGTCTGTCTGGGGCCAGCAGATTTGGGCTCTTGTGGGTGCCGTAGCTGCACTTACTACGATGGCGATCCTCCTCGGCAAATTCAACAACCGGCCTGTTTTCAACCAGATGGGAGTTACGCTCAATGCCATTATCTCTGTGCTTTCGGTCGCAGTAAAAGCTGCTGTGGCTTTCGTTCTCTCAGAATGTATGGCTCAATGGAAATGGATTCTGTACGCTAGGGAAGACAGGCTCATGATCGATTTCGATCGACTCGACGGGGCTGCACGTGGTCCTTTGGGCAGCCTGAGGGTGCTGTCGAGAACAAAAGGAGCGTACGTATCAAAGAATGCCCATGCGCTTCGTAATACATGGGCGCTAATATCGACCACTAGGCCTATTGCCCAATTTGGGGCTGTCCTGACCATAGTTGCCCTCGCCCTAGATCCTTTTGCCCAGCAGCTACTTAGACTTCGCGAAGCTATCGTGTACGACAAATCAAACAACGACACCTCGGCACTTATTTCACGAGCAGCAGAGTACTCCTTGGGCGTTGCACACACGGAGAAGACTCATTTCACCAATTTAACTTGGGATTGGGAACGCAATGCATCTATCACAACAGCAGAATTCGACTTCTGGAATATCACTACTAGCATTCCACCCTCAATGGAAGGGGCAATCATGAGTGGCTTTTACAAATCGCCGGAAGAATTGCAACGGGAAACTCTTTTCCGGTGCTCCTCGGGAAACTGCACCTTCGAGCCATTCGTAACCCTTGGCGTATGCCATAGATGCACAGATCTCTCCGCCAATCTCACCCGAATGCCCGGCAACTACGACGAATTGCTGAACACAATCAAGCCGTATCATACTGCTAATACACCTGGAATCATCGTCAACGGGTCAACCATGTACGCCACTGGATTCAGCCTTCCCAACGGCCACTACATCGCCAACACCGAAGGCTGCCAACCTTACCACCGCCAAAAGTGTAACAGTGAATCATATACTACTACATCTTTCGGTACCGGGAATCCAAATAAGACAGTCACCATGACGGACATTGACACTCTATTATGGTCTATGAGTATTATATACGCAGATATCAAGGCGTTGAATGCGTCTGGAGCGTTGAAGGATTTAGATCCGTGGTCGGAAGAACCTTAACCGCCTGAGGTGACTTGGCCAAACGTGTCACTGAAGGCGTTAGAGTGCGGCCTCTACTACTGCGCCAAACGCATCACCTCAAATGTCGAAAATGGTCGCCTAGAAGAAACCGTCGCAGAAATTGCCAATACTAAGCGGTCAGAGTTTTCATGGGACTTACCAAAAAATATTTACATGAATATTAACGACAAATATGACCGAATACCGCCGGAGTACCGCGCCCCCCCAGACTAGTTGCGAAGTCTGGAATTCCACAAGCTTTGGTCCGTCGTCACCAAGAACCCTCTCGAGATCGTAAAAGCCTCAAAGGAAGACGATTGGCAGATGCAGTCCTCAAGAAACCAGGTGACGATCCAGTCGGAATCTGTCAAATCAATTAGCGCCTACATCCAAACTCTGTTTCGATGGGAGCCCTGGTTCAACGATACTAAAGTTCGCGCTCAGCTTAGCCGTCTTGAGGGCATGGAAAATGCTGTCGGCTTCAACGGCGCATCGTTTGGACCAGTCACGTCCCTCTATGCCGCAGCCCAGCCACCGGCGTTGAACAGGCTGGTGTCACTTAGCCGGTCCGACTTTGCGGGCGTCTCCGCAGTCTTCGAATCCATGGCTATGAGCATGACGAATGAGATCAGGCGGACCCACGAGGACGCCGACGTCGCTCGCAATGGAATGAACACCATGACCTATGAAGGGCTGGTGGGCAGCACTGTTGTGTTGTACGAGGTCAAGTGGCAGTGGATAGCATTGCATGTTACTGTACTGACATTGGCCTGCACGTTGATGTTGATGACGATCATCAACACGAGAAGCAACGTAGATGTGCCGTTGTGGAAGAGTAGCTCACTGGCGGCCCTTCGGCGTGGAAACGACATCGGCGGGTTGCTAAAGGACTCTGGCAAGTCTGTGGCCGACATGGAGGACGCAGCGAGGAAGATGTACATGAGTGGACGCCGCATTGACGTCGACGAGACTAAGTATCAGGGAAAGCAGTATTCGAATCTCGTGGAGAGCGAGAGAGCCTGGCAAATCGATCTGAGTGAGGGATTAGCTGAGACGTCGACAACAGATACTGTCGAAGAGCGGTTTGAACCCCCAAGCCCAGCGTCGTTCCATGACCAAGGGTTGGAGATGGCTCCTAGAACATATTCCCACACATTCTAGCAATAGTTCATCTTCGATTGACAGATTGTTACCTAAATTGAGGTTGTCCCTAATAACAGCTTGTTCAAACAAGACTCGACTGATTTTGTTCGGGGACCATATGCTGTACCGATGTGCCGGATGGTATCACCTGACTATTTTTCAGATACAATAGAAAATGCATCAGAATCGCAGAAACAGCAACTTTCCCAGTAACCACAATATCAAACGCCTGCTTCCAGTTCAGCAATGCGCTCCTCCCAGTTCGGACCGAACAGTTCCTCGGCCTTTGCTCTATCCTCCCTCACCTCTTCGACGTGTCTCTCCAAACGCAGACGAATCCACTGATCCTTCTCATCCCGACCGCTTATCCTATGCAATGCTCGGATATCGCCTTCGATCTCAGCGGCCCCCAGTATTGCCACCTCTCGGTTGACTTCCCCTGTCCTCAAGGCTTTTTTGATCTCCTCGCGCAACTTCTCCAACTCCTCCTGTTCGCATTTGAGCTCGTCCCGGCGTCTCTGGGCTGCGGCGCGTCCGCGGGTCTCGCTTTCAATCTTTCGCTCCAAGATCAGGACATCGGTGCGGATTTGACCCAATCGTAACGAGAGAGAAATACCTCGGTCTTTAAGAAATGTCATCTGGCCTTCGGCTTCAAAGTCTGCCTGCATGTGGGCACTGAGCCGCTCGAAGAGGGAGCATTCGAATGTGGCAATGTCGGTGTGCGTCTGTGACGTGCCGCATCCATGGCAAGGTCCGAGTATTGCGAACGCGCTCGTGCGCTTTGGAAACAGGCTTTGGATGGTTGTCATCTGTGAGGCAGAGGGCATTAGTAGGGTGGTTCGACGGTAGAATAAAGAAATTCGGGGTTTGAGGGAACATACACTTTGATAGGTGAGGTCGAAAAGAGTTCAAATTTGTTTTGTTACGAAGGCAGCGGGGTGGTGGCGATGTCGGGAAAAATGTCGGGCGTGGGCGACGATGGGGCGGTGAGAAGAGGCTGGGATTGATGCATGACGCGAAAAGGAGACGTGACGGGCTATCCTTATTTATGAACATCAATTGCTTATGTAACTGGGAAATCATGTTTAAAGTAGTAATCATCTCGCCTACCTAGAAACGATTCGGAAACGTTTCGGGAACGATTCGGGAACGATTCAATTCAGTGCATATGGGTTCGAGGCCTCGTAAAAGGACGCCCCTAATTTATTCATATCAGGACCTCAAGCCCGCATAGATAACTTCAGACTCAGCTTCATGAGGTAAATTGATGTTCAATAAAAGCATGGGGAGGTAGGTTTTAAGTGGACGTTCCATATTTGCTAGGTATGCTTTCGTCAGTACGCGTATCAGCAAATGAACCACTATCGACGCTCACTAATACATAGGTAGTGGGAATGATAACGTTAGTGATGGGTAAAAGCCAAAATAAGAGCTTAGATATTGAGGTAAAGACATAATATGAAACTATCTTGATTTTACTCTGTCTCTAGATTGCTTTCTTGAAATAAAGGCAAAGCAAAACTGCAGTCGATGGCTACTTGGTCTTAGTTCTCGCAAGCGCCGGTAAGTACTAGGTAAGAACGTTACGTTGGACACGCATTAGACTTTGGGTATCTCCATTGACACAAATACAAGATCAGGTTTTCCTCAACCTGTAGAGCGACCCTGTACAGCAAAAAGAAAATACGCGGAACGAAACGTCTTGGGCAACGACTTGAAAACAGCATACAAAAATATGAAATCGATACAGGTGCTGAATATCTGTAGCGACTGGATCCCGCGAGCAAAGGACACACAGAAGGCACTCTCAACAATCTGTATACATATTTGTTTAGCTGATCCGAATCTTGCGAGCCACTTCTGCTTAGGTCCGCTACTAGCGACAAGATGTCTGCGCCAAAAACAACGTCCCCATATTTGTAATTTAAGCCAGCAGCCGTTGGAAATAGCGAACTCTATCGCAAGACTTGGTAAATAGTCTCGGAGAGACGACTTTTGCCCCTTTGACTAACGGATATGTTACTTACCCACGGATTTTACTGTCAATTATTATACTCGTACTGCTGGCGATGAGCGTTTTGAAAGGTATCTTATGCCTGTTTTATTTTTGAGACTGTCTTCTTCGGGGTGTGAACGCCATCATAAAATCCAAGACAAGCTGAGGAAGCTCTGGTCGATATCTTGGTGAATGTATTTCGTGCCACACTTTGAATTTCGAAGCCGACATCGAGAATCTCTGCGAATAGTCACATAACCACCTGGAGAGTGATGTGAGACATCCGCCGAGTTGATGTCGCCAGGTTGTGTGCAACCAGATGGAAGGGCGGACTGACGCTGAGCCTGAATGTTTCCTGCTCCCTTCAGACTTTGTATACAGAATTTGTTGGTGCTCAGGTTAATTGCTCTGGAAGCAAGATATACCCCCCTCGTTAACTTACCTTCTCACAATCATGATATCTTTTCTCCTCTCGTCCACAATGCGTACATACATCCATACTCTTTGGGGGAACACAGCGTTGGTGGATGCATGCACCATTCATCCTTTTCGTACTCCAGTGTACGCATCTTGTCCACGGCCCCCTTTTATCTTTCGATCAGTAGCTATGACGAATGGTCTCCTGAATGGAAAGCGGATATCACGCACATCTTCGCGGAGAACCAGAACTGCGGTTCAAACCTGGAACGCTATCGCCAAGACCAAAGAAGCATCGCCTAAGGCACGTTTGGTTGCATTCTGGAGAATTATCCCGAGTTCCTGAAGGTTGGGCAGGCTGCCGCGACTCTCGTTCTCGGATTCGCGCCGCCGCTCTTGCAGCAACTAAGTCCTATGACGGCTGACACGGCCGTGCTGGTCATGCGGCGATCATTCCTGGCTTTCCTGGTCACCTTAGCCGCCCCAGGTATCAGAGTCCTGTCTGCGACGGAAACTGTTGATCGCCTCGAAAGTCTCGCCAACGGAGTGTCCTTCGGGGTGTCACTTGGAGTGCACCCCGGAGATGCCAGCACCCCTATTTGACCAGCATCCTTTTCACACTGATGTTGCAATATGGGCTGGTCGGTTCCATGTTTCTTCTCAATCTATTTACGACAAACCAGTTGAGATACCGCGCCATGTGCAAATTCGATTCTTGGACGCCGGGGTTGCCTCTGGTTTGGACACTACCGTGTATAGCCGGCCACATTATTGCTTGCGTCTTCATCTTCCGACGTATCACTATAAACCAGAACCCTTCTCAGGGAACGAAGTGGCTCGAGAGATGTATAAAGTCGGAGCGCGAGTTGTCCAGCCAGAATGGCCGCGTGAGCGTTTCGATGTATACAGATGCGAAACCCCCGAGAAAGACGTCGCTTCAAGTAAGCTCCCACATTTGTCCTTGGAGCACTTTACGTTGTGAATGTTGTACAAGTTCTGTTTGGCGTTGTCTGTCTGTCTAGCATCGTCTTCGTGGGTGTCAAAGATGCTATATGGGTTGTGGGCCAATGTCTTATCTGTAGTCTCGTCTGTCGGGGCGTCTCGTTGTCCGAGTTTACCGGAATGAGGTCTCAGAAGCCGGAGGTAGACCGCAGATGAAAGGCTGTGAACCATTACTCCCTCTAATCACCAGAATAGACGTCTCTTTCTAAACGGAGCCTATGAGTGTGGTCTCACTGGGGAAAGGAGGTGGACCGTGGGAAACAGCACGAATCCTATATGGCGAGCAGACGCAAGGTTAGTCAGGGCTTTCTTCGTTGCGGATTGTTCTGATGAGTATCGATGGTAAACTTTTGCTATTTTCCAAAGCGACCAAGTGCAAAAACGTTCAGGCAAAGGCCAAAGTATCAACCAACGGGTCGAGTTAGCGGTAGTTGCAATGCGCTTAAACAGACGGAGGCTCGTACGTAGCCGACGAAGGGGTCTCGCACAAGCTTTTGGTCGGTAACTAGCCGCCCGACAAGGACTCGTCACACTTTTTGCTGGTGACTTGTTGGCTGGTTGGTGAAAAGATCGCAAACATTGCGAACCGACAGGCATTAAATCCCACCCGGGTCCGCGATCCCTGTTCAAACACATTTTGGGGGAAATCGTTTAATTGAGCCTGCGGATACGGGGGAGATTATGACTTTCTCCGATGATAATTGGTCAGGTGAGCGATGTTTGCTGCCGGTTCCAACAGCTTGCACCAACAGCTTGTCACATTCGCCGAGCACCAACAAGTGTGATAGCCTACCGCGCGCTGTGAGCCATACTCGAAACACGATCAAAGGTAAGAGCAGATTTACCTGATAGGGAAAACGCTATTGTGAGTTTAACATTTTCAATAGTTGCGCTTTGAGTCTATGATGCACACGTTGTCATTCGTGATACTTGTGTGATTCCACGTCCCAACAGCCAGTACAGCTCTTGCAACGACTGCGAAGATCCACTCGCACCCCGGTCAACGACAAGCCCAGGCACGCCCGGCGCAGCCGTTACAACGTTCCAACAAACACCGTAGACCGATTAGCCGCCGGCCTGCGGGGTTCGTCCCTTTTCAAATCAATCACCCCACGAATCCGCGGCCAACTTCTCTCGTCCTGCAAAACTCTATTTCTCACTCAACCTTCCAGCCTCATCAGCAGCGAATGATCTGTCAGTTGTTTCAAGACTTGGCTCGCTTGACTCAAGATGTACAACCCATCGGCAGGCCGCGCGACGGGCTATGCATTGGACCAGATGGAGCTAGACCCGCCGACGAATGCCGAGGAGTCGGACGCGGTGGAGGTCGATGACATTGACAAGACAGTGTTCGTGTGCCAATAGAACTCGCGACTAGCGATCGAGATGCACACGTGCAGACTAACGGTTGCGCAGCTAGCCGATTCCACCATGGACTTTGACGACCGCATGTAGGTACCCTTCATCCCGCCGGAGACTGAAGCTGCAAGACCCAAGCTCGATGTAGGCAGCCGCTGATGACTTAATGCAGCTCCTCGTACACGAAGTCCATGACGGAGAGCGTGAAAAACTTCAAGAAAGAATACGGTCGGCGATATCACGCATACCGAGAAGGATGTAAGTTCTCATTCTGAGCCGGCCGTGATCATTGTCAATCTCGTGGGCGAGTGGTTGACCAGGGACAGCATACAATTTCCCCAATGATGAGGTCCGTTTCCGTGGCCCCCTAACCTACCACAACCCCCCCCCTTCACTGACTTGAGGCTACGGCAAATTTACTCCAGGGAGAGATCAAACGACTAGATCTCATGCATACTCTGATTTCAAAAACCATCGGGTGGCGGTGGTTTTTGGCTCCAGTGAATCACAACAAAATGCACCGCATTCTCGATGTGGGAACCGGAACCGGCACCTGTATGTATCACAATGAGTCGTGGCACTACGCGCATATAAAGGAACTCTTATGTTCATACGAAGGCTAACATAAACTGAAGGGGCCATCGAGGTTGCCGACGTCTTCTCACACGCACAGGTTATTGGCAACGACCTCAGTCCGATCCAACCAGAATGGCACTCATGCCGTATCTAGTCATTCAATAAGGGAGGCTGACTGGCGAACAGGGTTCCGCAGAACTGCAAGTTCGAGATCGACGACGTCGAAAGTACATGGTACATGGATGCACCTTTTGACTTCATCCACGTCCGCTACATGGCATGCTCTCTGCGCGACTGGCCGGCATTCGTAGGAAGAGTTTACGAGTAAGTCATGGCATCCGAGCCGATGAACACATGTCCATGGCACAATGAACATCTAACACAACTCACCATGAAAGTAATCTTGAGCCTAACGGCTGGGCTGAGTTCTCCGACATGAGCGTGCTCTACGCATGCGATGATGGCACGTTGACAGAGGAGCATGCACTCATGCGGTGGGACCGGCTTTTCATGCAAGCCTGTGATATGCTCGGTCGCGAACACTCCCCAGGCCCGAAATTGGAGGGCTGGATAAGACAGGAATCCTTCACTAACGTCAGATGTCATCATTTCAAGATCCCACTCGGGCCTTGGCCCAAAGACCTTCATATGAAAGACCTTGGGTGGTGTAATCTGATTCAGACGCTCGAAGGTCTTGACGCGTTCACGCTGAAGCTCTTCCGAAGTGTTCTCGGGTGGACCGAAGAAGCGGTTCAGGATCTTCTGGATGAAGTTCGCCAAGAACTTGAGAAGAAAACTTACCATGCCTATCTCAACTAGTAAGTAGCTTTTCCGTCTTCGTCACCCACCTCAGGGCTAATCGTCATTCAAGCTATGTGGTGTATGGACAGAAGCCTTCATATTAGGCAGGGCGAGAAATCCAACTTCTTTTGGCAGGTGTACAAACATGGGTGAAGATGCATTCTTTTAGATATTTAATGCAGAAGTTTATAGTTTCAAGAGCGACTGTGGGTATGATGAAACTCTTCCTAAGTATGTACAGTAATAGAAACCGGATTCGTGCAATGACTCTATGTCCAGAGACACACCGGAAACCTAAGAAAATGCCACACTGGATGCAAAGAAATCAAGCTAAGGAAAGAGATGAAACCCGTTCGATATCCCCCTACCATAGGCAGACAACCAATTCTCAGCCCTCAGGCACTCCCGCGCGGATGTTGTCGTACTTGCTGTTCGGGTAGCTCAACTGGTTCTCACTCGAATCCTGCGCGGCACTGCCACCAAGAGCATCGAAGCTGGTCTTCATCAGACTAGCGTCATCGGTCCTGTCCCCGCTGGCCTCCCAGAACATCGACCCTCCAAGACCCTTACTTTGCAGATAAGAGACCTTGGTCCTCACCACAGCCGGCGTGTCGTAGGAGATGAGCTCCTTAGCGCTGGAGTCGTAGCTGTAGGACGCCACTGCGGTCGCATCGTACAGCTCTGTGGCGCCCGCACGAGGAAGTGCCTTGTAGTCCCACACGCCGTTCTCCCACGATCCGCTGCCGATGCCGGTGAACGGCTGACCGATGCCATTGGTCTGCTCAAAAGAACGACCGTAGATGGGCATCCCGAGGACTATCTTGGAGGCGGGGACACCGGCGGCGAGGTAGTCGCTCACAGCCTTGTCGGTCGAGAAGGGGGTGGCAGTGGGGTTCGCTGGGTTCGGGAAGAGGTTCGCTTGGTGGCCGCTATTCGCATCCCAGGATCCGGCATAGTCGTAGGCCATGAGGTTGAAGGCGTCGATGATATCTGACATGGCCTTTAGCTGCATGACGTTGTAGTGGTCAGGTCCTGCGGGAGATGCGACAGTAAGAAGATAGTGGTAGCCCGGAGTGTACTGTGCAGCATATGCATCCAGCTGGCTTCTGATCTCTTGAAGAAGCAAGACGAAGTTGGCTGCATCGCCTGCCGTCGCAGGGTACTCCCAGTCCACGTCAATTCCATCAAATCCCCAGTCTGTCATCGTATGTTAATCACTGTCATATCCATGTGGCGCAGTAGATGCATACCTTTCATAAGCGTGATCGATGACGACGCGAAGAGAGATCGGCCTGCTGCATTGCTGGCAGCAGCCGGGAAGTTGGTAGACCAAGTCCAGCCACCGATGCTGAGCATGACTTTCATCCGGCGATTGGCTTTCTTCAGGAGATAGAGCTGCTTGACGCAGCCGTACGCGTTTGTGCCGATATCGTTCCAGGCTAGTGAGTAGTAGTAGTGAGATAAGCTGCCCGATAGGTTTCAAGATACATGAGGGCTTACAGTCGGAGGCATAATGCTTTTCCAAATCAGAGTATGTGTCTGCGGTGTAACTGTAACATATCAGTTAAACAAGCCTCAAAAATGTCACATACCAGCGATAAACTATCAATACTTCTCGACATCGAAGGGACTTACACCTCTCCAGTATCCCGGAGGTTCATGAACGCGTAGAGAACGTTCGTGATCTGAGATGCAGGGAGATCCTGCGGCTGATAGTTGCGTCCATAAATGGCCCTGAATGTAACTCAGCATACAATAAGTCGTCTCGATCATAGGTGGCAACATACCAGTTGGTAAAGTACACAGCGTTGGTGTAGCCATTCAGGCCTCGAGTGGTGAGGTTGACCGGTGAGGCCTCGGTGAGACGGATTGCGGGAGACATGATGCTAGCAATAGCAACTAAGGAGCGGAAGAACCTCATCTTGACCGAAATTAAGAGGAAGCTATTAAATAGTCTATAGAAGGAGTGTAAGAAAAAGGCTGTGCCGCACCTCAGCTAAACGTCACTGGACTTGAGGCGATCAACTGATCATATTATACTAATTCTGTCCGGTGAAGTTAGACAATGCGCTACCCAAAGATCTCACCCACGAAACAATGGGAGAACTAGAGACACAAAGCCATTGTTGCCTCCGACCACATCTGTCATCTGAAAATCGTGCGTGCTCGAGTTACATGCGAAACGTTACGTTCTCTGCCAATCAAACTCCAAACTCCCCTGGGCCGATCCTGCCAGCTTTTTGGCTTGTGAAGAATTCGCAGCGCAATTTTCACGAGGCGCGTGAAGGTATCGTGGTCTTGTCGCTCGCGTCACGCTTAGATGGTTACAACCAATTTGACAGTGATCCGTCAAGCGTGTGGTCTAGCGTGCCATCAACCCACCAAAGGATGACTTGCCTCGCACGTCCATATTGGCTGCACCAGCGCACTGCGAATCTCGCGTGGAATTTCGCTTGTATGTGTGTGTGTGAACGCGCGTGTGTGTGCATGGTGGAGCGCCGCCAACACCATAGGTGAGGACTTGGTGATGGTGCCCGGTGAGTGGTTGGGGCAAAGGTGAAGCGACGGAGCTAATGCAGGTGTAGCCGGTCTTTTCCTCTGCTAGCATGTCCAGCGACGCCGCCAGATTGGCTGAACGTCTTGCATTCTTCAAGAGCTACCCTTGAAGGGCCATGTGCCCCGAATTTGGTGAGTTGACAGCGAATGACCGAGTCGGGGCCGAATGTGACCCTCCATCCCTGGCCCTTATCGCTCTTTTCGGACAGGACTAACGTGAGCACATGCTGCCATTTGGACGAATCTGCTGGAGCCGTATGTCGGCTTATCGCGGCAGTTGTTGTTCCAGAAGTCTGACGTAAATTGGATTTCTCTTCTTTACTACTGAGCTGCTGAGACAGGTATTATCATGTTGACTAGAGCCAACAAGGCGGCATTCGAAAAGTAGCGCAACAACGGCAACCAACAACACTTCCACCAAATCCTCATTCGGCATCGGGGTTACCCCGTCTTCCACCCACCTCCAACAATCCTACGGAAGTTATTATCCTTCCGGAAGGTGGAGATCTGATAAGACGGGCACCGGCGCATCACCCGCCCCGCCCCCTGATCTCCAAAAGGGTTTCCTTCAGGCTGCCTTCCGCCATATGAGCTGCTGCCATCTGATTGTGTGCATATTACAGAGTGGCATCCGCGCCTGCTTTTGCAACTTTGAGTCCATCTGTCCGGTTCATGAGGGTATGAGAGATCTGCAACGTTGCAAACGGCGACGACAGATGGACATCCCGAGTAGATTAGGATCTTCCCTCGTCGACGAACCAAGTTGGTAGCCCTCACTGGCCGGATCTCGGCGAGTGTTCGATACTACCTTGCTGCACATGGCGAGTTCAGACGGTTACCACCGCCTTCCATGACTGGCTGCGGGCAAGGTTCCGGATCGGTCCGCACGTTGCGTGCTAACCGACTGACGCCAGTCCCTTGACTCCGGCAATCTGGCATCGACGTCGGAGAGTGACAATTGGGCAGAGGCAAGATGACCGTAAAGTATGACTACACCCCATGCTACAAAGCACGGGGGTATTAAATATTGCATTAAGATATTCTGTCATAACTCAAGTGGTCCTCACTGAGGCCTTGATGGGTCGATTTTGTTTCCCTCGACGTTACCTGCTGTCGTCACATCCTGCGCTCACTCACTCATCGATGTGCTTTCCTTGACTGCAACGGGCGGTTGTTGTGACATTGCAGGATTCAAATCCTTATCAATGCCAGTATCGGCAGCTGCTCCCGTGCCCTCTTCCACGCGTTTCTGTTTCTCAGCCAGCTCCGCTTCTGCACGCCTGATCCTCCGACACCTCATGATGGCCCATACCGTCAACGCCAGCACGATGAGCGAAAACCCGCCGACGCCGACGCCAATGCCAATCTTGGCACCCCTGGAAAGCCCAACGGAATCGTAATAGCCATAGCCATCGCCCGATCCAGATCCATTAGGGTCGCACTCGTCAGACGTCGCGCCCACAGGACAATAGACTGAAACGACGACGCTGACCGAGGTAGAGTCGGGGATCTCTGCGGCGTAGCTGGGGAAAGGGATGACGTCTTCAGTCGTGCCGTCGCCGAACTTAGTTTTCGCGATGGCAATCTCTTCGTTGGCGAGGTCGAAGACCATGTACGCGCGCTTCAGCATCATGCCGCCGAGGCTAAATGTCGAGCTTGAGCTGCCTGATGTGGTGGAAGTTGAGGACGTTGATGAGTTGTCTGACTGGACTCCAAAGAGGCAGTATTGTGTTGCGGTCTCAGTATCCCAAGACCACTTGCTCGACGACCAAAAGTCAGCTGGAATGACGAGGTCGGAAATTGGCACGTTCAGAACCGGCCCATCGAAGCCGTGAAGCTGGATAGCCAGCTGTGCAGTTGAGGTGTTGGCAGAACAAGGGACTACATAGTTCGATTGCGACTCAAGCCACGTCGCGCCTGCGATGGCGTAGATATCTTGGGCGATGTCATCGGGAAGCCAGGACGCGATGTTGTGAGGACTGATCCGGACGATAGATTCGTCGTTGTAGGACGTCCCGAGACTGCCCAAGGGCTCCAAGACGTCCGATGATGACTTGCTGCCGTTGATAGAGTGGATCCGAGTGTTGAAGACCTTTGACGTGGAAAAGCTAGTCAGGATCGGGAGGCGGGTGAGCGGACCCTCAAACTTTGACCTGTCGACTGCACCCAAGAGCAGACTCCCAGACTCATTGGAGAGATCATCGACCCATAGACTGTACGCGGTGGAGTTGATTTTGCTATCAGTGAGCAGGCGGTCGGGAACAGTTGGCAGACTTTCGCTGGATGCGTTACTTGAGCTGGAGCTGTAGGGACTGGGGGTGTACGCGCTCGTGTTGAAGCCCAGGGCCAGTACGCCAATATACGTGTCTGCCGTGTCAACGATGCCCATGTTGATTTTGCCCAACTGGACGTCGCCAATGCTCAGTGTTTCGCTCATAATCTCCCCATACGCGTACCCTTCTGTGTAGCTCGTCATGAACGTCTCAGTGCCGGGGTTGACATATGTCGACGACTCGTTAGGCATGAAGGAGCCGTATTTGCACCACCCGTATTTAAGCGAATATCCGTCCTCGTCGCAGTTGTTGGCGTTGACCACCCATGTCTCCCCGGCTTGGACGGTGAGCATCATCGACATGTTCTGTGGCGGCGTGCCGACGGTGACGTTTACGAGATAGACCGTGTCCGCGCTAAAGAAGTCGGCTGTTGAGGTGGAGCGACGCTCATCATCACGACGTCTGGCGTTCCTGCTCAATGGCTGGTGAGACTGCCGGGTGAATGGTAGACGGACTTGAGCTGTTACCGCTGCGGCCCATAGAGCGACCGCAGATACGCCGGACAACTTCATGGCAGGGCGAGCATGGAAGAAGCGAGTGACTGTGATGCATGCATGGCGAGAAGAGAAGAAAGGGGGAAAACGTTTGGAAGGATTCACGAGAATTTTGAGGCTTCAAGAGCGTGCGGCACAGAATGCGGCACAGCAGTCATAATCCATTGGTACTCTGTACTAGGCAGCAAAGCAGAACAACACTAACACGAAAGATCAAGATGCTGTTGTGTGGCAGGGGGTTAAGCGACATTACGAGGTGGGTCTCCGCCCTTCGCTGGGTAAGGTGATCAACATTCCTCAAGACAGAAAACAGAATCAGGCTCTGAAAGAGAACATGGTGGATGTACAACATATTCCAGGAAATCAAATAGCAAGCGGGGCTTTAGGCGCTGGAGGCTCGCTCAAGAGCTGCTTCAGCTCCCCAAATGCCTTGAGGATATCCTCCGACTTGGCCTCCCAATCCTTGCGCGAGTCTTCTCCAACCTCGCCCTTGATGGCTGCCACCAGATCTGAACCGGCGCCGCCCGCAAATGACAGCGCCGGGCGGGTCGCCGCAACACGGAGTTTCATGCCCTCCAACGTGCCCTTGACCTGCTCCGACGCCCGGTTGCCGCCCGCGATGCCATAGCTTACCACGGCCGTCGGCTTGCCGATCCACTCGTTGTACAGGTAGTCGATGGCGTTTTTCGTACCACCGGCCATGCCGTAGTTGTACTCCGGAACGACAAGGATGTATCCGTCGTACTTGGCGATCTCTTCACTCCAGGCGATGGAGTGAGCATGCTCGAACTTGGCAACGGCAGGCACCTGGGCGGGAAGGGCGACTTCATCGTAGACGGGTAGGTTGAATTTGGCGACTTCGACGAGCGCAAGGTCAATCTTGTTGGTAGAGGCGTCTTGGCTGATGGTGTTTTTGACGATTTCTGCGACTTTGGGGCCGATTCTGACTTTGCGGGTGCTCGTAGCGATGACAGCGACTTTCTTGGCGGCGGCCATGTTGGAAGTTGATGTTTTAATTAGTTTTGAGGAATGAAAGAGGACCTTCTCATGAGTTTCGAAGACAAGGCGTTGAATGACTGATTTTCATGAGTCTTCAACAGGGCACGAAGAACTTCGATTTTATACTCGCAACTAATGTTCGAGGACAACAACGAGCACTGGATTGCCCGTGGTACAACTCGCCCCCTCCTCAGCAGGCGACCGGTGTCTGTTGCAACCTACTCTCCGTACCAAAGTCCTTTCCCAAGCCCCACGTCGGCGTCGGCTTGGCTTGCTGGCCGGTAAGTGACACAAGTTCTGTACAATTCTTTCCGGCGTGTCGCTGATTATCAATACCGGCTTGTGAGTTGAGGGCAGCTAGAGTTAATTTCGCTGCATGCAAAGACTCGCTCGCGCGCGGGGTCTGCAGCTTGACCACCGACATCCAAACTAATATGCAAGGTGTGTAGGTTGACGCTGCTTACGGTGGCGCCCGCGCGGTATCAGCACATCGGTCGGAGTTGGGCGCAGAAGCCCACACGCAATCCCGGCGTTGTGAGATGGAGAGCAAGAGATGAACCGCGCGGTCGTTGACTAATAACTCAAATGGCTTTTCCAACGAATTACGGCCGTTTCCCCGCATAACTTACAGCAATCAACAACATCCAGAGGTTTTCGCTTACAACATCCATCGTGATTTTGCACGCCTTAGCTTGGTTGCATCCACCCCAGCTCGCATCTGTGGCCCACCAACCACGATCTGGTTCCTAAATGCCTCGGTGGCTCAGTGGTAAAGCGTCTCACTCGTAATGAGAAGATCGGGCGTTCGATTCGCCCTCGAGGCAATACCTTGCTTTTTCGCTCTTTTTGGCGGAGTGCAATAGGCGTTTTGCAAGTTCTGGTGTAATGCATTGCAGACTCACGTGGTACGAAAGCAAGTCATGTATGACATGAAGTTTCAACACCCCCGCAGACGTATGGTCTAAGCTGAACAGATTGGAGTGTTCTTGAACAGAACAGTATAAAACGTTCTGAATGGGACCCGCAGAATCTGAAAGGAACCATGCACTCTAACCGTTTGTCGTCGACCGAAGGAAGGACGTGGATTTGTTTGGCACTGTAACAGGAGCCTTTTTTTGTTCCCAAGGTAGTATCCATTTCGGTTCCGTGAGACGGAGTCCCTACTGTTAATTATACATCCAGACTCTTCCCCAAAAGTCAAGGTACGCAGTCAGAGTTACGTCGGCGCTTGATCGCGCTCAGTTCCAAGTAATGTAAGCAGTTAATAATACCACTCAAGCTTGATTCACAACGCCGAACAACAATTAGTTGCTGACGGCTCGGAGGTAGTGGGGCAGAAGACCGATGGGTGGACCTTCCGGCCGGCGCGGACATTAAGCGTTGACCGAACGTCGCCGTCGCCGGAAATGCCGAAGAAGGAATTCCGGGTATCTACGTCATGGTCTCGATAGAGTTGCCGAAGATGGGATCAGACCCTCACTCATTAGCACCTCTTGGGCCGTAGTCGGTACCGAATGAGAAACCGAGCTGCGCTAGCTTCAGCGTCTGCTGAGGCAGAATAAAAGTCTCCGTGATCCCCGACCGTTCGATGGCTTTTGAATGTCGAAATTAATTCCACTGAAATCCTTGCATACCGAGACTTGAACAACATGAGAATTGTCGCGGCTGAAGAACACTTCAGTTCAACGGCCTTCGATGGCCAGCTCCCTGCGCATCATCCGGGTTTTGAATGGCCTGTGTCGCACTTGCGGGACATCGGGGTAGGCCGCATCGCCGATATGGACAAACATGGAATCAGTACACAAGTATTAGTCTCTGGGACGCAGCCGAGAGTGCAATCGCTGATGGAATTCCAGGTGCTCTCTCAGACGGTCTACAACGTGAAAGACATCGAAAGATGCCACAAAACAAACGACCAGCTGTACGAAGCTGTCAAAGCATACCCCGCGCGGTTTGCAGCTTTTGCGTGCTTACCTACCGCGCATCCGGAGAAGGCGGTAGCGGAGTTCAGGCGATGCATTCGGGAACTTGGGTTCAAGGGAGCTCTCATCAACAACACGGTTGACGGGGAGTTCCTTGACAACCGGGAATACTTTCCAATCTTCCAGGCAGCAGCGGATCTTGGTGTTCCCATTTACATTCATCCTAGCTTCCCGAGTCCAAAGGCCAACGACGTCTTATTCAGCGGAGACACCATCTCGCCAGAAGCTGCCTTCATGGTATCCACCGGAGCCTGGGGATGGCATTCGGAGGTCGGCCTCAACGTAGTCAGACTCATATCAGTCGGGCTGTTTGACAAGCTACCGAACCTCCAGATCATCATTGGCCACGGTGGCGAGATGGTTCCGGTCATGATTGGCCGCATTGAGGATACCCTCGGAAAGGTGATGAAGAAAGCAGGGCATAGAAAGGGACCGCTTCAATGTTTGCGAGAGAACTTCTACATCACCACTAGTGGAATGTTCACCACGACGCCGCTCAAGACGTTGGTCGATATTATGCCGATGGACCGGATATGCTTTTCTGTGGACTATCCGTATGCCTCAAATGAGGACGGGAAACGACTCATTAACAGTATTGACTTTTTGGATGCGGAACAGATGAAATTGTTTACTCATGGAAACCTCGACAGACTATTGGGACTGGACTGGAACGAAAACACAAAGGCCAAGATATAATAACAATTCGAATTATATTGCCTCATACTCCGTACCTTATCTAATTTCTGATTTGTTTTGCCGGTGAAAAGGATCATAATCCCGTCTTTGAATTGTGATTACCGCAATGTCGAGGAGACAGGACTATGAGAAGGTCGAATCGGACCTGGGAGTCCGGCTTAAGCTGTGGTCCACGAAGTTCCGAACCTCTTCTGCCTGGCCCCAGCAGGGATGATGGGCGGGACAAACTCCACTTGATCCGCCCGGAGCTAACACCCGATACAGTCCAACAAAAACTACCTCTGTTGAGTAGAAGAAGTATTTAATAGGCACCAACAAGCCCATGGCGCCATTCGTTTGCGCGAAATTCCTTTTTTCCATCTTTCTTGGCAGCCTTCATGATGAATCCTTAACCCGACCTGCCCTCGGCGTCGGCTGTTGTCGACTTCCTTACGAAGTCGCCCTTCGAAATAGCTGCGCTCATTTTCTCCCATATTGATAATATCGACATCAAAAACCTTCGATTGAGTTGCATGAAGCTTGCCAATCTCGCTAGCCCTCATCTTCGCTTCAAGCGCGTCTTCATAGGCGCTAGCCCCTTGAACGTGGAGGTGTTCCGCGCGGTCGCAGAGCACGACACTTTCCGCCACGACGTCCGCGAGATTATCTGGGATGAATCTCGCTACGAAACACCATCGGATCGGGACCACAGGTATGATGGCGACTGGGACATCTTTGATCAAGGTTCCGACCATTCAAGCGATGAAGGAGACGATGAAGATAGCCCATGGATCAAGCGTCCACGTGGTGTTCCTTTCTGGTTTTACAGATGTTATCATACTGCCATCGAAAGCTTGGAAGACAGACGTCAGCACGATGTCTAGACTTTGCCGCAGTATGTCGAGGCATCGAAGCAGCTTGCCGCAAAGATGCCTATCCGAGACGCCTACGCACATTATCTGAAGCTACTTGAAGAGCAAGAACACGTGCTGTCTAATCCTTCGGCTGATGCAGTTGCTTTCGAATGGGCTTTGAAAAATGACAGGTTCCCTAACCTGAAGAGAGTTATTCTCACACCTGCAGCCCACGCCATGCTTTTCAACCCGTTGTATTCAACTCCTGCTATTCGTGCTCTTCCGGACGGCTTTGTCTATCCGCTTCCTCGTGGTTGGCCAACCCCTTTGCACGGAGAGGAGTTCGACGGCTGGGATTGGAACGAAAAGATTGTTAAGACATCCCCACTGGGGCACCCAACGGAGACGTACATGGAGGTGAAGGACAAATGGCGTGGCTTTCGCCATGTCGTCAGAGTTCTCGCACAGTCGACAAGCACGGGTGTTACGGAACTCATTTTTGACGGCAACCTGATCAGCACTGGGCTTCCGTGTGCTATCTTCAATGCACCAGAATTTGGAGTTGAGGCCGTTGAATACGAAAACCTCGTTGCCGTTATCAAAAAGCCAGGCTTCACCACGCTTAAGCTTAACCTGATGATGGACGATCAGGAGTACAATGGCTACGGTGCTTTCCGCAATGGGCGCCTGAAGAAGGCTTTGGAGGCTGCTAGTGATCTGCGATACTTTACTTTGGAGACCGACGAAGAAGATAACCCTGACGATCCGTGGCGGGCCCAAAGTTCGACAGCCGATCACTTCATACCCCTGCGATCTATTTTCCCTATCGAGACGTGGAAGAATCTATCACATTTTGGACTTTCGCGCTTTCTAGTTAAGCAGAAAGACTTGCTAGACTTTCTTGCTGCCCTCCCGCAGACCTTACTGTCGGTCGAGCTTAGCTTCCTCTGGTTCTTGAAAGACAGTGGCGACTATAGAGAGCTCCTCTTTGGCATTCGAGACACCTTAGACTGGCGGAGGCGGGCGACACGACCTCGACTACTCATTCGAGATGAGGGTGAATTCCAAGCGTTACCAGGGCGTGCCGTCTGGCTTGATGACGACTTGGACGAGTTCCTGTACGGCGACGGCGAGAATCCTTACGTACTCCCTTCATTACTGCCACACTTTTTGTCGTTTGGGGCACATGCACCGGAAGGCTTGCTACCGAGTCTGTCAGTAGGCTATGGGTTTGGAAAGCACAAGGATGAATTCGAGCCAAGATTTGAACGGCCATATGTGTCGGTTGCCGAGCTTCAGCGAATGGGTATTCTGGAAACTTAGGCGTGGGGCGATTCTCAAGGACCCTGCACTGGAATTTGGAAGCAGAAACTACCAATTACCTATCCAAACTACTCAGAGAACCGAATAGTTGTCAGTTAAAAATGATACAAATCAAAAAGCTTCTGGCACGAGCTTGGAGCGATCCATTCTTGACTGTAGTCTCGCTCGTAGCAACCCACCCGCGGAGCCCTTGCATTTTCCATGCTTGACACGAAACCTCACTTTGGTCTATTTTATATCAAAATATTCACTTGATCGACTTCGTTAGTGATTTCTCGTCAGATCCTCCACCCAGGGTCCAAAGAATCCGGTGCAGTCGCCATATCCTCAGCCCATGGCCGCAAGGCGTGAGGTCTCCAGCTTAGCCAGCAAAGCTGGGATTCGCCCGAGATGTAACGATCGGCAATGGCCTACCAGCAATTGCTAGTAATCAAATAATATCAACTCGAGAATGAAACGACTCGCTGTCGAGAGAGTCTCAGTTAAGTCGAGCTAGGTATCTCGGGCTCGGTTTGATGGGGCATACCGATGGCGCAGCACGAAGCGGGGTTTCCGTGGCGCCCAGAGCCACCGTGCGATCCACGGCCTGCGCGGAACAACACAACAGAACATGAACAGTTGCCACCAGAACTAGGAGCAATTACAACCAATCACAAAACTGCGGCCTTTGGCCACCAAGTGATCATAAAATGTAACATTAGCGAAGTTGGAAGAGGAAACTACTCTACTTATTTGGGGTGACCTGTCGTGAAGCCTTGCCGACTTTGTCACTTGCGGATGCTTCAGGCAAGTGAAATGGTCACCTACTCTAGAAAGCTGTGGGCCAAAGAACATAGCAGACAAGTCTTGGCTGAGAGGGCGAGCCAGGCGATTTCCCATCTCGGGATCTCCTGCTGTTTTGATTGTGCTGGTCGGCGGGGACTCCGTTGACCGCCGAGACAGTATACTCAAACCACTCCTGACGGAGACACACATGCCAAAGCAAATGAGAAATACTCAGATAAGGTCCTAAACCTGAGATGAGTTGGCTCGCCAGACTCTCAACTCCAAGTAAGTATTCTTGAAGACATTATTGCGCAATCGGATGGGCTTCAAATTAGGCTTGTCGCAGAAGTGAGACATCATTGGGCTGATGCTTTCCATTCGGTCTATGGGCATGACGCAGAGCTTTGGGAGACATATGTAGTGTTGGTAGGGGCTAAATTACAACGCATCTTGCTTTGGTAAGGTAAGTTGCTCTTGTGCTTTGGTCGGTGGCCAATGACCATGCGACCGATTTGTCTGGCTCGAAAGCTGACAATATCTAGGCCACGACAGGGCCATACAACTACGAGAAGTACTTAATATTTTCCTTCCAATCGTTGAACTGGGTAACGATTAACCCCACAAGATCTTCGTGTACTCATGCAATTACTAGCATTTCTACAGTGTTTCTAGCGTCGAATTAGACAGAGAACCACACACGGGACAATCTCAACCTACATAAGAAAGCCCGTGCGCTTTACGAGTATTCCCACTTTTCGGATGTCTACCCGCGCATTCATGTTCGGCCACCCCCAAGGAATCCTCCATCGGGAAGAGGCCGGGCTTTGTCCACAAAAGCCGGCCCACGTCGGCGCTGCTCCTCGCTCTGAAACTGACAGGAAAACGTTCAGAGGCATTGTGTGCTGGATCAGAGAAAAGGAAAAAAAGGGCATGGCTGGCTTAGGAGAACGGGTGCGCAAGAAAGCGGGAAAGAAGCATTATTGAGGATTCCTTGGTAGCAAATGGCAAGGGCTTGGCAAAGATCTGACAACGAGAAGGACTTCATTCCACTACTCCAGCCTGCAGGTGACGGGCTATCGGGTAACATCTCGAACCCGACAAGAACGGTGTAGTTATTGGACGACGCCACAAATTGGAACTAGCCTAAATGGAATGAACAGATCGAACCCACATCATGGGTTTATCATTGAATTATAAAGATGCCCTACACGATCGGTTGATGCCCTCTCAGTACTTCATGTTGTTGCTTACCCCTTTCCATTTCTCCCTCCTAGACCATGTTGAAGGTCATCACAGCCCGTTTCCACCCACCTAAGCCATCCTCTCGACGTTTTGATGGGCTCACCATTCTCGTCGTGGGGGCCTCCACAGGCATCGGTCTTGAGGCAGCCAAGAAGCTAGCAGCACAGGGAACATCTACCCTCATTATCACAGCCCGAGACGAAACCAAGGCAGCTACAACTAAAGCGACCATCGAAGAGCACCTAGCATCAAGTTCGGTATTTTCAGGGCCCTCGCCGGTCATCGTCTCTCGTCGTTGAGATGACATCTGACTCAGTCTACGACTGGGTCAATAGACTGAGGCAGGCGACAAACCACTTGGATCACGCCATCATCAGTGCCGGGCTGCTAGCAGGATCATACAATCAGGCGGAAACAGGATATGAGAGCAGCCTGCAAGTCAACGCCATTTCGCCAACACTGCTTTCAACGCTACTTCTCCCTCTGCTACTCGCCTCTCCTTTGGTGCAGAAGGCCTCGGTCGCCGAAAGACCGCATCTCACTTTGGTCAGCTCCGGCGCGGCTTGGCTTGCCAGTCGTTCTACCATAGAACCTATCGTCAATTCGGCAGCCCCTCTTCGTGACCTGTCAAGACCGGAGGCCTTCACACCGGGAGTCATGGGAGGCCAAAGGCACTACTGCCTCACCAAGCTTATGCTTGAATATTCCATGCGGCACCTTGCGTTCCTCCCAGGTATCGAGGACACTGAAAAGAAACCCAAGGTTCTTGTTGCTCCCGTTTGCCCTGGTGCGGTCAACTCGGACCTCTCGCGGCACTCAGCCAACAGCGGAGTCGTCGGAATGATGGCGAAGATCGTCAACAACACGGTTGCGCGGACGGTGGAGCAAGGGGCAAATATCTACATTTCAAGCCTTGGACTGGGTGAGGAAGGTCGCGGTCAGATGTGGACGGACGACCACATCTCCAAGGACCACAAGATGTTCCTTTCTACCGCGGAAGGCAAACAGCTCGGAGATCGAGTCGTGAAAGAGCTTCAGAGCTTTGTGAAAGAGATGGATATCAAAAGAGGCATATGATCAGCTCGTTTCTATATGACATAAATATCCTAAGACTGCGGTGTCAATCCAGCTCACAGCTAGGGTGCTGGACTATTTAATAGAATACCACGATCGCACAGGAAATATATCTTAGACCCCATTTTCGCGGATGACCCGAGACGCGAGATTGACTGTTTTCACATGTTTGAGGGGCCATTTCCCCCAGCATTACATCACTACGTAGCCGCTTACGGTGCAATACCAGACATGTCTGTCAATTTCGCGATACAAGTTCCGAGTCTGGTGTGTAAATGTAAAAAATCATTGGGTCCTGTCTTCAAGAATTCAGTACATACTGGTGCGATAAAATTCTTCTACCTTCGCATCATCCTTCTTAACATGACACTTGCCAATGTAAAAACTCACATTTTTCTGACCTTCAAAAGTCATTACTGGACATTCACAACATCTTTGAGATTTACCTCTGATCACACTAGACAAGAGTGGTAATCATTGACGATCTTTGGATCTTGAGGCCAGACAAATGCTCCGTCAGTGAAGCTCGTGATTACCGGACTTGAGTCAACCCTGCTTTTGCCTTGTGAATGGGAACAAGTCAAAGAGAAAACATTGTTACATAGGTAGCGATTGGCTTCCAGTGACTTGCTGTAGGAAAATATGCTTCAACCCAGTTTTGTCCCTGGCTTGAAGCTGAGAAACAGTGCGTATGTGGGCTGTGAGTATGTTAGTGGCAGCCTTCGTATGATAGCAATTAGCGAACGAAGTATGCTTCAAAGACTCCCGGCTTCGATCGGCCGAGTCCTTAAGATCGACGGAATATGTGTAAAACTAGACAAAGAACCGAGAAGAAGTTGTAGTTTGGCCCCCAAATTAGGTATCGCGTGGAGCTCTGCACATCAGACGATTGCGTGACTCAAAGTCAGTGAGTCGCCCGAACAGCGATGGCCGGTCTGTCAGAATCAAAGGCGGCTTATGGATAGCGGCGTTGCCAAGAGTTACGACATCCGTCAAAACATCATGTCAAAACCGCGGACTGGCAACCAATACTCTTGGCATGGGCCGAATAGCGAGGGCATCATGTCGAACGGCGGATGTTGCCGTGTCACTACACAACTGCCGGCCCCGAAAGAGACTTCGCTGCCTTGATTTAAGCTTGTTTGTGTCAACGGCACACTTGGCACGAACACAGATCTCACGGCGATTATTTCTCTCCGGCGAAGCAACCCTGATCTCGCGCTAGAGAAGTTTGGTTTATCTAGGGACCGTTTGGGCCTCAATATTAAACATTGCCTTTTCTTTTGGGTTAGCTAATAGTCAACGCGTGAAGTATGCAGCTGGACCTTGGAAGTCTCTGGGATGGCATGGAACGTAATCGAAGTTGCGACGAGGGGTAGGAACACGAAAGGTACGAAGATCCCGACTTTGGACGCCGACCCAACGGTGTGAACTTCAGCGTGATGAAAGGCAGACGTGTGATGAACGTCACAAACAAGCGGGGACCTACTTCAACTGTTGCTTTACAACTCCCTCGGATGGCTCGGCGCAGCCTTGCCAGATACGGATTATACGAAACTTGTGGCCAGAGTGTTTGATGACATCGCATTGGCCTTCATAATAAGCTCGGAATGCTCTTGGAGCTTGACACTTGACGCCAAGACCCCGGCAAACAGCGAGCGAGCCAATGGGAATTCTTCACTCTTCACCTGTCCCACGAATTCCGAACTCCAGTCAAATAGGTAGACACAATCCCGATCATGGTTCCATCGGAGTTAAACTCCTTTCGTGTATATCGTTGTGCTCCGAATACAGAAAGATGCGACGAAGCATTTTCAAAAAGTCCAAACCTAGAGAGACAGGATGGGAGGTCGTGTCTATCTGTCGGCGCCGACAAAAAGTCTCACCACGCTATCGCAACTGCAACGGACATCTGATCATACATGGACCACCGGGACCTTCGCTGAATACTAGACTTGCGCTAGTCTCCCTACAAACAGTTGAAAGCAGAAAATCAAGATCAGTAAAATCTGCCCAACGTCAAGTACTGGCAGACACGACGGTTACACGTCAATAGTGGATGCACTGTCCACAGCCTCCAGATGATGGCCCGACACTAAGATACAACGACGGGTTTACAGCCGCATCGCGCAGGCCTGATATGGTCTGAGCTTCCTTGAAACAAACAAGGGTATGCTTGATGGCCATGACAGAGAGGCTCGACCCGGGGACATATCGGCGGTCGGGGCCGGTCCAAAATGACTCTGTGATCACATTAACCACGGGCGGAGCAGTTCGTCCTGGTCGGAACTGCACAAATCTTTCTCTCCAACTCAATTTTTGTAAATCTTCCGCCAGTCTGGTTAGTGACAGGTTGGATGCGTCGAGCGTTGTTCAAAGGGATCGCTGTCCACGCGCTCCACTCATCGGAAGATGGGGCGATGATCGCGGCTCGGATTTCGTAATATCGTACCTAATAATTCCCCGTTTAAGGAAACAAAGCCTGTGCGGAAATTGAAACGAAAACGAGAAAAGATGAGACGGCGTGGAAGCAGTCAAGGTTGTATCACCGTTGAATCGGGAAATTCATTCGATGTGACTTGGGGGAGTCCGATCCGATGGCCTGCATGCCCAACGACTGACTCAACGACATTCCCTCGCAATGCGCAGGCTTCTATTCCTTCATTACGTTGATCTCTGGACAGGCAATTACTGTGCCAATTGATGTTACAGTGATATCAATTGCATGACATTGATCTTCCTGTTGAAAACAATGGAACTTGGCAATGGAGAGACCATCATCTTCTTTACGACCACCTGTCGACCCGGTGGGCGGGCTTAAAGGCAAAATGCTGGATGCCAAACTATGCACTCAGATTCGTCTGGACTTTCGGGACATGAAACAGGGATTCTACGAGAGTTACCTTTCTAGGGAATTTGCATGGTGGTTCAAATCCACCAAATCGCGTAGCTCGCCGACTAGGTGAACGTCGTACTATGGATTCAAGTCGCCTGCCGTAGGTGGCCCGGCTCGCGGGACCATGGAGGCAGCAGTCTCACGGCAGAGGGCAATACTCCCACACAAAATCAAGGCCGTCTCAACTTTGCCTCATGAAAGCCAGCACCACCCAAAGATCAGGCTGGATTCACTAGTGACATCGGGACCTGCGGCAGCCAAGTCTCTGGCCCTCGCCTTGTGATAGCCTTGGCCGTGTGCCATCATCCTGTCCTTGCTCCCCGCATTCGCATTATATGGACCCTCGTAGTCAAGGTCCTTTTCAGCTGGCGTTACACTCCCCTCTTCAGCTGCCTACATCCACCGCAACATAGCCTACTGCGCAACGCTGTGATGGTCTGAAGTTGCTCCTCCTTTATTATTTCCGCACCCACATTCTCTTTTGATCCGAAGGAGGCAGCAGTTCAATCCTTTCAGGGCCACGATACTCAAGTAACCGGCAGGCAGGCAGGCAGGTCACGATGTTACTCCGCTCTCTCTTGTCCTTCACCCTTGTCGCGGCCACGGTCCTCGGCGCTCCCGTCATTACAACCAAGTACAAGCGCGATCTTGCCACGATCCAAGCCGCTCTGAACACCATCAACTCTGCGCTGCAAGGACTCGACAATTCGGTGAAAAACACGCAAACCGTGACACTGGGCGGTGGAATCCAGCTGCTCGGCGCCGTCGGCAACGTCAAAACCTCAATCGAGGACGCGACGACACAAGTTCAAGCCTCTGAGGTCCTCAACAGAAAGGACGCGCTGAATCTCAAGGCTGCGACCGACGCGCTTACGAATAACGTCAAGGTTACCATCAACGATGTTGTGGCAAAGAAATCACTAGTCGACTCGCTCGGCGCAACGCCACTGGTTGCCGTTGCGCTCCAAGATCAAAAGTCTGCAAGCGTCGCCCTCGCCCAGGCTCTCGTCAGCAAAGTCCCCCAGGAGCTGAACGCCGACGCGCAAAAGAGTGCCGGCGCCCTCAGCACCGTCCTGGATCAAGGCATCGCAGTCTTTGGCGGCACATCTGTCCCGGCTCTCCCGGGAGCACCCGGCGCACCACCCCCGGCTGGCGCCGCAGCTGCCGGCTCTACCGTTTGTCAAGCAGTCGCTGCTCCCCCACAGGCCGAAGCTGATGCTGCCGCTGCCCAGGACGCGGGCGCTGGTGGGGGTGGAGGTCTTTTGGCAGGGCTCATGAGCATGTTTCCGTTCAAGAAACACTAAAGTCGGAGATAATTTTCATGTATGATATGTTGGCATACGAGCATGGGCGCGAGGGTACACTACGGCCGGGTCCGTACTGGAATGGTGTTCAACGGCTATACACAAATTGGAGATTCTCTCTCAGTCTTAATACATCTTGATTTGAGAGGGGCAATAATATTATCACGACTGCATCGCTATCGTGATCCAGTGACATGTCTGTGGTCATCCTGCCGTGAAGTAGCATCAAGGAGTTTGCCCTGGTCTGCGAGAAAAAGCAGACCCCTAAGCGCAAACCATGGAGCCTGGAACGCTAACGACACATGTGACGAACGAACAATTTTGAAGCTGGAGTTGTCCTCACATGCTAAGCAAATTGAGTTACAAAAGTCTCCTTGCAGCGCGAAACTGTCGTGAATCTTGAATTACTATTCACAACATGGCTAACAATTATGTACAAAAAATATCAATATGAATGCGGATACCCTTACGAGCAGCCCGGCTTTGTAAAAACACTACCTTAAATCATGTCTCTTATTAATAGTCTATTTCAAAGGACCGCCTTCCCTTTCCATCGCTGTAAACTTTTGTATCGAAGACCGCCGCGCTACTCTCGACCGTCCTTCTTCGAATCCGAGACCATCCCGGTCAAACGTCAAGGGGATTTCGCCAGATGTTGCCTGACTTTCAGGACGCAAGGCGGATCTCTCATCGTCAGGATCCGTATATCTGCTAAACCTGGACTGGATAAAAAGCGGTTGCGCCACACCATACTGGCTCCGATGATCGTTACCGAACGGATTTTCGTTGAATGCCGGTTGTGCGACATCAACCTGATTCAGGTACGGAGCCGGAGTCATGCGACCGGACATCATTCGCGAGATACCGCCGCGGGCTGACCTAAGCGAGCCACGAACAGACCGGACAGAGCCCCTGATCGACTGCACACGACTGTATGCTTGTGGTCGAGGAGGCAAGACAACAGGCTTCTCGCCGTTCATGCGGCGGGTACTGAATGCGACAATGGTTCGTCCAGATCCATCTCTACCCAGACCCGATGAGTCCACAATCTCATATGGATGACCCATTGCCGCGAGTTCGTCCTCGATCTCCTCCTTGGTGAGAAGGGCAGCTTCGTAGTCGTCTTCTCCTGGCTTGGGCTTCCTCGAGTAGTCACCTGGCTGGCTTGAACCATTGGGAACATGGAAGAGTAAGTCGATTCGGATGACAGCGTAGAAAACCACGACGAGGATTTCCAACATGAATCCCGTGGTGTAGAAGACCTCTTTACTCAAAAGTTTATCCGTCGAATCGGGCGGCTCGGGGTTCAGAATAGACGTCAGACGGACAGCGTGACCCGCAATGAGAAGGATGGCGCCGATTAGCAAAACTGCAATCTTCTGATGAGTGTCCCCAACACCAAACCTCTCGGGCTTAGGTCCTGGAATCACGGCGGCAAAGAGAACCGCAACGACAGGAAGGATTGCAAGCAACATGATCCAAGATACTCCAGCTTTGAGCACGTTGAGAGCAGTGTCGACGCGGTCCTGGTCTTCAATGTGATAGAACGAGACTCCCAGTGCCGTACTGTTGTTGAAGATGACAGCCGGAACCGAGAAAATGAAGAAGAGAGTCGCAACTCTGAAGAAAGGATGCCACCCAAAATTGGGGTGAATTGACCGGATGATTCTTTGAGCAAAGAATATGTTGACCACCATGACAACCACAGCACTAGTATGTGTAAGTTTCAATCAATCATCTCAAATGCGGCGGAAAACTCACCCTCCGAATTGCACAATCAAAGCAATGAGAATCACTACACGAGCCTTCTCGAAAGCCCAGATGATTCTCATGATGCAAGTGACGTTTCGGACCATGCAAAAGTCGAACATGAGATCTGAGAGCAGGAATTTGTGACCCCGCTTCGCGTTGGCTCTGTAAATCCTGATGTGCGTGTACGCTCCGGCGCTGAATAAGAGCAAAAACAAAAATGTCACGGGGACATCGATGTTAGTCGTCGGAACACCTCCGATGAATGCACCCTCAGCTGGGTCAACGAGTCTCTGCTGCGGTGGCTGCCCATTCTGAGCCCCTCCCTGGGCCGGTTGCGGCTGCAGTGCGGCACTGGTAGTAACAGCTGGAAGCGCAGTCGGCGGTGCTGATGCTCGGGGTTGCGTGGTTGACTGTGGTGGAGGGTTCGATGGCGTAAATACCGGTGCCGGGACAGTTGACGGCTGAGCTGAAGTTGTCGGAGCGGTAGGCGGGGGAGGCGGTGGTGATGTTGACGCCGGTGGTGGAGGTGGTGGAGGCGGGGCTGCCGAAGAAGTTGTTCTTACGGCCGAAGATGTCGCCCGTGAAGTTGTCGTCGGCGGAGGTGGTGGAGGGGGCGGCGAGCTAGACGATGTTGTTGATGTTGTGGTAGGCGGCGGTGGCGGCGGAGGAGGTGGAGGCGGAGGGGGAGTCGTGGGTGCAGCAGATGATGTTGATGGAGACGGATCTGCTGCCTGCCCTGTTGGCAATTCTGCGATGAAGGACGTGGCATCTCCCAGTTGCCTCTTTGCATATTCCACTTCTGCCAGTTGAAGAGGCTCAATTTGCAGCCCTGCTGCAACCGCCGCCGCTATCGTAGCGACTTTGAGCAGCCACATGTTGGATGTGGTATGGTTGAGGGCGTCGTGTGCCTCTCAAAGAGTGTGTTCTCGGTTTGCGTTGAAATTAGTCTGAAGCCATGCCAGCACGCGATGAGAAAGGAAGATACTGTGAGGCCTGGATGGCGATCCGAAGTATTAGAAGTTGATGAAAGAACGCTGCACAAGAGAGTGAATGACAACAACAGACGTATCGCCGTACACCACCTCAATGATATTTGATGTGATCGATGGTGGACGTTGGGGAGGGAGGGGCGGCGGAACGAGGGTGGGTTGATGGAAGGTTAAACAATGCCAGGCATTCGAGCAAGCCAGGACCTGGTCGGAAGAGTCGGCCGGGGACGTTGACGACTTGATTGCCCTGTGAGGTGGTGTGCAAGTGCCATCTCCAAGGAGGCTGAATGTCTGGTCATCCCGGAAACACAACATTGCCGTGTCAAGACCATTCGTGGCGTGCGTCACTCGGATCTGTGTGTAAGTTGATAGAGTTAGAGGAGAGGTTTCAGCGACAGGGTCTGCCCGCCACCCGCGCGGATACATGCACGATCCCTGCCACGCAGCAGTAGTCGTCTTTGCAGGTTTGCACCGCTATGGCGCCTTGTTGTCCGATCTCGAGCTGCAAAACTAATTGACGGAAAAGCGAAATCCACACCACCTTCACGGCCCCAATCCAGCCACTTCCTACTGGATGCGACCTATCACGCCCCAGACGGTCAATGGGTTTTGACGTTCTGAGGCAGCTCCGTGACAGCGTCCGGGACATGAGATGGTCGTCCGACGTACCCGGTCTCTACTGCTATCATCTTATTCGTAGTTGGCAGCAATTTTGCCCAATGAAACGTCAAGTAGCACAGCAGCAGAGCTGGGCGGAGGGATTGGGGGGTGCTTATCGCCGAACTTGTGCTGCGCGAGCTGCGGCACGGCAGAGAGGTGACAACACACACCAACTGAATCGTTGGCATCGTCCGAAGGCAGAAATAGGAAAGCAGTAAGCAGTGAGCAAAGCTGGATGTGTTTGGGCACGTTATTAGCCGGTCAACTCCCGTCCAGCCAACGGATACGGATACGGGGTTCGTCCCTTGGGATTCAGGATTCCCGTAGGGAAAGTCTACCGACCACCCTCAGCCCAACTGGAGGTGCAGGGCACCACAAGGGATGGCGCCGTAGCCTGCAACGTGACACATGCTGAGGATTTCGCTTAGGGCGTCAACTTGGCCATTCTCACCAAGCAGACTTTCAGGTGTTGAGTGAGAAGGTGTGTATGCAACTGAGTTCAGACGGGCTAAACACTCTGCATGTGATCACGATGGATGCTGATGCTGCTTCTGCCAGGAAGCGGAAGGTGCACTTTGAGTTACCAAGACGTTGGCTCGGTACGTTGTGAATACCGACATATCCAATCATCAAAACTTCAGGCCGAGCCGTCGAGGGGTCGCACACTTCCCTGAATTTGGATCTGGGCCTGTGGTTGACGTGATGGCATAGGAGAGCTGACATCAGTTGTCCGTCCAATGTGCCGGACAACAGAATGATCCTTGCCTCTGGTGGGGATTTGAGATCATGAGTCCATCCTCGATCGATGTATGTCAGAAGAGGCTCAAATGGGTAGTGGAGGGTAGCAACTCGGGATAAAAGGCACGCGGGATATCTCCCATTGGCCACATCGTTTAATCTACAACGTCCCGCATCTTTTTCTAGAATGAGCACAGCATATGCTTGCGACTTTCCTTAATCGGGATACTATTTTTATGTTGGATTGCCTCTCTAGTGCTGACGGCTGCCATTTAAGCTTGATGAAGCCCCGTAAAGATGGGTTGTGCTGACCGGGCATTAGAATTCAGCCTCTGCTCCCAAAAGACCTTCCGCCGGTGGAAGGCAATGCTGACAGGATGGGCAGAAGGGCAGTGTGTGGTTGCACTGCAGAAGGAAGGCATCTCGCCTCCAACGGCCATTCTTTCGGCGCACTGCTATGCGATCTGAACCTATCCATGGCAAATTTGCGCCATCGGCATGCATCACAACGGCGATCTTATTTTACGAAATGGTTCTAGCTCCGGCACAGGTCAGTGCTAGAACTCCACCTGAACCGATAAGGCTGCAGCTTGTGCTTGCAAAACTTAGGCCGATTGGTAGATTATAGTTGAGGTTACATCGTTTCTGTATCATACCTTCGGTCTGGCCCGCTTCAGCTTCCCAAATGGTCCCGAATAAACCTGCTTTCATGTGTCCAAGTGATGCCAAGTTTCGCCCGCTATCTTGAACCACTGCAACCTTTCTCACTCGCACTCGCCAGTCTACCCACGTTCAGAGGTGTTAGTAGAAGAAAATGAAGATCATACCTGTATGCTGCAAGATAGCCATTGAAAGCCCGAAAGACCGCCATTCTTTGCCTTTTGGTGATCGAAGTATAATTTTGACAAGAAGCACGGTCTCGGGTGGCGGACGTTGGCAGACTGCGTGGCAGTTGCACTAACGACAGATTGCCACGCTGGCTTTCGGTGTAATTCCATGGACGTGCCCATTCTCTACACCTAGATGTGCAATTTTCTTTTCTTTCGCGGATTGCAACATCGCCGATGTCAAAAAGTCTTGGAACTTCAAACGGCGATGTCCCAAGTTGATCAACCGAGGCCTAGATAACCCAGCTTTTCTCATTGGACAGTAAACAAGCCTGCCTACCACTGAAGTTTGCCTTGTTTCATCGCAACTGCCGTCACGCAATCATGGTTCGTTCATTAATTACTAAGGCTGAGTCGCGGCCTCTTGAGGTCCGTCTCAAAGATCTTTCTTGGCTTGACGGACTCGGCCCATTGGACCTTCTACGCTCGGAACCGAGGCAATGCGGTCTTGACAGCAAAGCCAAAATCTTTTTGAGTTTTTCCACACAAGAAATTGTTGGCTTTCGAGTTGAGTCTCGGGCCATCGCCTCAAAACCGCCCACAGACATTTGGGAAATCTTACCTCTTGTCAACCTCACAGAACGAACCATATGAGCCGCCGTTGTGCCCAAGTCACTTGCACCCTGATCCCAAAAGAACGGTCAAAGGCCCAAAGCAGCGGTTTTCTCGGGCCGGCAGCCCAACTTTCGCTGAAATTTCCCGTTCGGTTTGCGCTCTATCCAAATGCGAGAACGCGATACCGCCGGACTCTCGGTGTGGGAGACTGTCCTAGTCTGTAAACATTAAAGGACTCCATGTCGGCCGAAAGGATACGGAGGCGGTAATTTAGCAAAATACTTGCTGGGCGACTCACGGACCGATCCCGTGAGTGATGTCAACAATATTCGTACGGAAGCCGCGGGCTAGACGCTCATGATAATGCTCTTGGAACAGGGCCTCAACGGCACCGTTTGGACTCTGGATACAACGCATAATTAGGTATGAGTGAAAAGGTAGGTCTGTTGACCTCAAGTACGTCATCGCACATCATTGCTCTCGCCGCGTAAGGGACCAAATAGCAAGTGGTAAAGCATTTCGACCGTGAGCTTGGAGTTATTCGTGGTTCATAAAATTAATGCCCATACCAACGACATGGTGATCGAAGCAGGCCAAATTGAGACACTTGCGGTGGCTGCATTGTGTATTCTTGGTCATCGTCCAACATGCGCCATTATCCTTTTAGCAACGTGCACGCGTGCCACGTTTTCGTGACTGCGGAAAATAAGCCTCGGAGATGCTATTTCCTCCCACGTCCTCAGCTTTGAAGAAAAGGCTTACAAGATGCACTGTTGTGCAATAATAATGCGCCACTGTTTTGTCCGAAGGATTGGGAAGTCCGAAGGTTTCTGGCGACATGATTTGCTGTGGCTTAGACGCGGTTTGCATACACAGACGGTCAACAAACGCGATTGCCGAGACTTGCATACTGCTGAATGATGAACACCTACCTCATGACCAGACAAATCATCAAATTTAGAAAACATAGCCCGTTTGTGAATGAAATCAGGCAATGTGATGATAGTGGTACGCCATGTTCACCTAGTCGTTGTTGCACTGGTCAGTCTTATCACGATTGTAAGCAAGCATCCTGAGGAGAGTCAATCATTGATTTTAAATCTGACCGCGGTTTATTTTGAGCTATTGAACCATACCGCGACTTGGAAGCATTGATAGCTCAAGAAAGGATGCATTGTTTGCGTTATGATCATTGCTCTCCACCACGACTTCTTGCTCACCCTCCGAATCTTTGCTTCCCAAACACGCAGTACGTTAGTCATCCGGAGCGCACAGTAGTATCCCAAAGTAGACAGTCCATCGAAGGCACCATTCGACAGAGGCAGGTTTGTAATGGTTCGCAAGGGTGTCAATGCTTTGCGGGGTATACGGACTCGAGAGGTAAGACGCGATGAGAGGAACTAGTCGAGCCCACGGAGATAGATCCCGTTCGCCTTTCTGACTCCCAAAAGCATAAGCGGTCATGGACCAAGAAACTTGCGTCGCGGGGATAAAGGCATTATTAGCGTGAACATAGGCGGAGATAGCGTCCGGCCAGAGGAAAGCCGAGAATGCTAGCAAAACATCGTAAGACAAAGGATTCGAAGTGAAGGCGCGAAACGGTAAGCAATCAGGCCCAGGGCTGGTATTTTGTCAGCAAAGGATATCGCGGCCATCCATTATTGAGGATCGAGACACTGAGTTATCAACATCAAAAATCGCCGATAACCGTAGTCATTGTCACATTGTAGACCAACAAATTTCTTGGCGATCTGGATTATCCCTCCCAGTCGGCAAATATCGACTGATGAGACCTTGTTCATAATGGCACAACCAGGCGAAAATCAGCTCCCGCGACCTCCTTTTGATTCACAGCTTGCCACTGTGATCGGAAAGACACCGCCGTATCCTCTTTCGAAACATGAAGTCGTCGCGGGGCGGGAGCTCAGAGCGAAAAACATGGCACCCCTGCAAGCGTCCATCCGCAACGACAAGGATCTCATCATTGAAGACCGCAGGATCCCCGGACCGGAATGCGAGATTCCTTTGGTAATCATGCAACCCAAGAATCCGAAAACGCCATACGGGAAGCGACCAGGTGTTTTTTTCATCCATGGCGGCGGCATGGTCGTCGGCGACGCTTTTCTCGGACTGCCATTTTTCGTGGACGTCACCAAGGAACTGGACGCCGTTGTTGTCAGCGTGGAGTACCGTCTCGCACCAGAACACCCGGCTCCAGCTCCGCAAGATGACTGCTTTGCCGCGCTGCAATGGACCAGCGAGAATGCGGCAGAAATCGGCATCGATCCCGCACGCCTCATGATTGCAGGCGCATCGGCAGGCGGCGGGCTAGCGGCCGGCGCGGCTCTGAGGGCTAGAGACGCCGGGGGCCCGCGGCTCTGCGCCCAGTTACTGGTGTACCCCATGCTCGATGACCGCAACCTGATGGTCTGTAAGAGGCAGTTTTCAAAGGACCATGGAGTGTATGACAGCACCGACAACGACTTTGCATGGTCGTGCGTGCTTGGCGACAAGCGAGGGGCGACCGAGGGGGTAAGCCCGTACGTAGCGCCGGGAAGGGCAACAGACCTCTCTGGGCTGCCGCCGGCATATATTGATGTCGGTTCGGCGGAGCCATTCAGAGACGAAGACGTGGCGTATGCGACGCGGCTATGGGAATGTGGTGTGCAGGCTGATCTGCATGTGTGGAGCGGCGGCTTTCATGGCTTCGAAATCCTAGGGCTGCCTGTTGGGGCTGGGGTCTCCAAGGCAGCTATTGAGACGAGAATGGGATGGGTGAGGAGAACATTTGCCTACGATGGGAGAGCTTAATTCCACCTTCACAATCAGATAGACTAGGGTAGATGCAATACCCTCGTGGAAAACTCATGAGCCAACCTCTCGCTGTTGCCAAGATGCATCTTATTAGACATTTCCTGCAGCTTTCAGATTTCTGTAAGGGGCTTCTTCATATCCCATCCGGACCACCGGTTGAGTTCTTAGATACAGCACCGAGTAGTGCACTTGATGATCTTTTGCCTAATTGTGAGACGAGAAAGACGGGCTGATCGGCAGGGGACAGCTCGACGGGAAACAGCTGTTAGTTGAAACATTTTTACACAGCCACCTCTCTGATTTCTGTTGAAACGATCTGACCGACTTCAGATATCAATAGCAGATTTTACCTGCAAGTGATCAGATATCTCGTGTACGCCTCCCGCGTTAGCTGCGTGCCTAGCCATGCATGTCAATCTCAATAAGACGGGTGGTCGCAGGTGTCACGGAAACCAATTTGCGATCGTAGCCGCAACTTGCATGCCAAAGTCGCTTTAGTCTCGGCCGGCGCGCGGCCCACTGGCGAACAGATCCATCAGGAGGCCCTCCATGCCCGTGCCTTCGCGTGTCCATCTTCTCGTGTGTCGAGGCGCTAAACACGGAGGTCAGTGTGCCCATACATCATTTCGGATGATGACTACGTCGACCAGTTGAACCAGAAACAGACATCCAGACAGTGAAACAGAACGAATCTCCACAGGGAGCGAGCAGAAAGCCCAATCAGTTGTTCCCTGTTCCTGCGTCTGGGAGATGCCGGCAACTGCATCGAGGTTGAGCCGTGGCCACACACCGTTTCACGGGTTGGGCGGGGTTGATCGTGGTTTACGCGGTCTGTCCAAGCGAGGAGTTTAAACGGGACGAGGGGTAATGAGGAGTATGATGATCAGAAAATCGACAGCAAGAAAGGGGAATTACGGGGAACAACCTGAAAACACTTCAAGACGTCTTCCGCGCCTTGGCCAGCCGGGGCCACGGGCTGCCGCCCTTAGCCTGACGGCCCTGGCCGTCGTGTGGTCGATCGAGGCGATCGGAGTTGGTGTCAGTCTCAGGGGCAAGAGTTTGGGCAGAAGGGTCGTCGAAGAATCATACGAACGGGTCCGAACTCCATGTCAGGTTCGTATTCGGGGGTGATGCTGTTAAGACAGGGGTTGCAATCAGAACCATCACGATTCCTCATCAATTCATGGGAATGATGATGATGATCCACTACTAACTAGTCCTTATCCAACGACGTTCAGAATGCAAAAGGCTTGAATTGAAGTTGTCCGTCGATCACGATCGATCTTTGAGAGTGCACTAACTTATGCTTTCATGTTCTCCCAGAAGTTATCTCAACCACAGCCAAGCACGAATGCCGTCGGGGCCTTATTGAATGCCGTGTCGGAAACCAAGTCTGCCAATTGGTCCCTGCGGTTGAGAGGAGATCTTTGCCCTCAAGGAATCTGCAACCTATCAAAGACAAAATCTGCTCGATCGTTACATGCCATCCCTCCGCGCTTGGCGATGGCAGATTGCGAAATTGTTGGCAAGATTGGATGTTCTTGGCAACTCGTTATCGTTGCCGGTGCCTCCCGAGTGCGAGTGCGCGCATTGCAGCGGGGGAGCTAATACAGACGACCAACTTCCAGGGTTGTTGATTAAAGCGTTGCCCGCACTTCTGACGTTTATCGAATCATTCACTCAAAGTCTGGACAGTTTCCCACCGGCACGTCGGCATCCGGCGGATGCGATGGCCGACCTGTCGCGGAGGATCGGCGCTATCGCTGCCGTCGCCGAAAGCTGGCCTATCTAGGTGAATTAGTCTCGGCAAAGGTGCCGACTCAAGCTTAACCTGAAAGGCTTTGGGGTGCGATGGCTCGTCATCTACGCGCTGTCTATGGTCGTCGACCCATCCCGTCGGGAAGACTTGTTCAATTCAGGCACTCGCAGCCTCGGGCCGGAGAAACACTCCGTTGGCCTAGGTGCCGTTGTCTAAGCATCCCTAGTTGCATCCAAGAAGCAACTAATTTGGCTGAATTTGAGTGTTTTATCAGTCCACCATACATACAGCATCGTGTTCCGTTACTTTGACAGATCTAACCGAAGCCGCTAATTGGGAGAACTACGTCTCACTGATAAGACCAGAATAGCCTGCGGGCAAGACCTGAGCCCCCCGGCTTGACGGTGAAGTGTGTCAGAACACCACAAACGTTTAGTGCCAAGGTTTTCTGACTTTGAAAGTGTTCGAGACGTCCGCATCCGGATATACTACCTCGTCAGCGATGTGGCCGGGGAGGTCATTGTCGGCGGCGGGCTCATCTCCCGCAGCAGGCGGGGTGCCGCGCAGGCAAGATGCACATAAGCCAACGTCTAGATCAACCAAGCTGTCGGAAAAAGCACCCAGTTGCGTGGGCGAGCTTCTCCTCCCTGACAAAGAATGAGTCCCAGGCTCTATTTGGGTTGGTGATCACTCATCTGCTCCGTGGCGCACCTGAGCTATGCTGCATCCGGCGGCTGATTGCCACCAGTCTTGGTCCCTAGGCGAGATGCGGCCCAATATGGGTTTCAGAGAGCACAGAGAAGACAGAGAATCATAGTCAAATATGCTACCACGACCTGATGGAGAAAAGCGCTGATAGCCAGACATGCGAGTGGCGTTTCCCTCTTTGGGACTGTGGACTGATCGAGACAATACTGGCTGGTGTTGAGACAAAAAAGGCCCTCGAGCCCGGTGAACCTTCCAACAGCCGCAGCTCCTTTGTAGAGGCCAACGGACGGGCGTAGACTAGAACCCAGATCTCAAAGACCTCGCATTGTCTCTGGAAAACGATGAATTCCACAGCCTACTTGTATGGGCGTTTCCTGACTCTGATGATGACCTGCCATCGTGAATATCTTCCATCTCTCGCCTCCTCGCCAAGAACGTTTCGGATCGTCTTTCGGTAATTGTCCAGATCTTGCATGCTTTCTTTCTAGCTGAAGGATCATGCAACTTTGCAAATCGTCGGCCATCGGATACTTCCTGTCAGTGGTGGATCGTTGGGAATAGCTGGTGTCGATTCGCCTCCACAAATACCGCCGCGATGATGGTCGATACGGATTGGCAGTTCGCCACGACGCTCCAGCGCGAGAGCTGGATTCTGTACTCCATTGGTATGGCGCTGGTCGTTATGAGATTGTAAGTTGCCTGCATTTTCTCACTGTTGAATGGGAGACTGACTTCAGTATTCTAGATATAGCAGAGCAAGACGACTTGGCGGGGTGCAGCATTACCAGATCGACGATTATTTACAATTAGTAGCAATAGTGAGTCTTCTCAACGGACTGATTACGACTCACGACGGGGACATTGCTAACCTCAGGTCGAATTCAGTGTCTATTTACCGCTCTAATAGCGCTGCTAAACATCATTACCGAAAACGGCGGCTCGAATCTGTTCCCTATCGAGGACTATGCCACCTTCTCCCCCCAAGACATCCAAGCAAGAATCGCAAACTCGAAGCTGGTTCTAATCTCGGAACAATGCATGCTTAACCTAATCTACGTCCTCAAGGCATGCGTTCTCATCCTCTACACCCGCCTCACACTCAACCTCTCCACGAGGCGCTTCGTCCGCTGGCTGGCATTGTACGTCGTCGTCGGCTGGACTGCGACTCAGATCACAATGTTCTCGGCATGCCACCCGTTCACCGATTACTGGGCCGTGCCGCCTTCCAACCCCCAATGTGCGACCTTCGAAACCTACGCGATTCTACAAGCATGGTTCAACATCTCATCCGACATGTTGATGTTGATGGTCCCGCTGCCTTTGATCATCAGGATGACGGTGTCATGGAGGCAGAAGGTGGTTCTCGTCTTCATCTTCAGCCTTGGTATCTGCGTCGTCGTCGCGGCGTTCTTGACTAAGGTCTACAACCTCAGCGACCCGTACAGCCCCAGGTACATGCTATGGTACATCCGGGAGGCGAGCGTCGCGGTTTACGTGTCCAACCTACCTCTCCTCTGGCCGCTCCTGAGAGAGTGGTTCCCCTGGCTGAAGAACCTGAAGACCGTCGGCGTCCTGCCAACGCCTCACCCTGCCGGGGCCTCAGGGCCGAGAGGGAAGGAGACAAACGTGAAGGCGTCCACAGCGGTGGGTGAGAGGAGCCAGGTCGGACCCGCAGGATGGCCTGTCGGGACAGCGGCGGTCATGAAAAGGGACACGTTTCTCGAGTTTGGCGCCTGGATCCGCGCCGGGGATCTGGAGCTGCAGAAGCCGGCGCGGGCGAAGCTTGCGAGCCCCAGCACCGAGCTCTTCCTCGAAAGCGGCAGCGAGACGCCCATGAGCTCGCTGACGCCGGAGAAGAACCGCAAGAGCGCGTCGTCGGCGTCACCGTCGCAGCACTCAGGGGCTACGATTGAGGAGACTTACGTCGGGCAGTCGACTGCCGGGGGCGTGGTGCTGGGCCCGGATCTGGAGCGGGGCGACTTTGTCTGGGAGACTCCTCGGGGCCCGGGCAGAGTGTGGGCGGGGGCGGCGAGTTCAAAGTTCTCTTTGTCGTGATCGAGGGGTCAATGTTATTATGGAGACGGCTTTTTGTGGTTTAGGATGAGCGCTTTCTTTTGTATGTTTAGGGATACCCTGGGTCTGCTAGATGGCGTTGCGAACATGTCCAGAGAAATGAAACAAAATATTCCCGTACGCTGTGGTTCCCATGACTGTCGCTAGGCTGTCAATGTTGTCAATTCCGGGTATGACTTGCGGGCGGAGACATGGTGGCAGTTCGTGTCGGTACTGTCAGAAAGTGACAGAGCGAGAACCTGGCGTTCGAATGCGCGTTCGCATGCAGCAGAACTGTCTTCTTTGCAAATGCGGCGGTCGATCACGTTTGATGGCGCCTCAGAGGTTCATGTCACGACTGGTTCTTCTCGGCAGATTCATGTCGTACTCGCGCAATTCGACCACTGCGGAAGTGCGACAGGGATATCTTACCAACTCCAAACACTAAGATAGGAACTTCGCTCGATCTCCGACACTCCTCGGATACTTCGCGTTAGACAGGCCACATCAGTCTCTGTGGAGAGCGCTGCAGATCACAAGACCAGCCCAACGACCTGCTTTCCATTTTCAGTCTTCGGGCAGAAGATGTGAGTTATTCTTTGGCACGGTGAGATATTTCTCTTGTCTCGTGACTTCCTCTCTCTCTAATATGTCTATATCTCGATATGACTCCTATGAGTGAAGATGATGTTGAATACTAAGAGGCAAATCGAGATGTGCTTGTTATTACTCGTATCGATTCCGAGTAAGTCTTCAAGCCTGACAGTTTCACTCTCATCGTCTTGGCTGCAAATTACCCCTCGCATCCAAACCCGTGTCATTCTGAATTTTCACCCGCCGCGTGTTCGCAAATTCGACCACCGGACGTCCGAATGCTTCACCCTGGAAGTCGGAAGCCACGGTGGCTGGTGAATGAATACACATGTCATATATGTGGCTAGGTAGGTGGTCAGGAGTGTGGACCTCTCCGTGTCTTTTTCGGTAAGCCCTCGGTGAACGAAACACCGCTTGCCACCATCGTGAGGCAATCAGCTACCACCACTCAGGCTGAATTGTCCTGAGGCCCGGGGCAGACGCACTCCGAAACAGGCGCAACGATCACACACAAAGGAAAAGAAATACAACTGGTCTAGCAGGTGAATCGTGCCATATGTCGAAAACAAAGAATGGAGACAAAGCTTTGGGGCCTGCATGAGCGACAGACAGCCATGATCTTCCAACAAAGGCACGATCTTTCTAGAATCCTCACAAAGGGACCTAGATTCAGCTTGATGTAGTCCTCAAGGATCTTAATGACGATGCCTGTCTTAAGGCCGTGGTTGATGACCGTTGTGAGTCTGAACGTGTCACACAGCTAGGCACCCAGCCAACCAATCGCCACGACCATGTCTATCATGAAGTCCACGAGACACCTAGAGGTATTGGGACTGAATCAACATTCATTATTTACATAGTAGTCAACAGAGGTTTCAACTGGACCCAGTGGTTGAGGGGTAGTTCAAACTGAGCAAGGCAGACCTCCCCAGCTGCCTGGAAATGGTGAGGGTCTCGCATGCAAGATGCCGAAATCTCAGTCCTGCATCAATGCCATTTTCAGCGTAACAATCATGGTCATGGAAAAATACGTCTGCACCGTCGGCGGAGTTGAGTTCAGGCATCGCACTCACACCATCTTCCAGTCAAACATCACAACTTCCAGCCTACATCAAGAAGACCATGATGCAATACTGTCTCTCGACATCGTCCCTTTGTCACCCACAATTATATCATCCCGCCGAACATGACAACCTTCCTGTCGCCTTCCTCCCTCCTGTCTGCATTCACCCGGCAAACCTGCAAGGCGACCATCATCTACACCCGGTTCAATCAACACTGATTCCAAACAAACATCCACCTTCCACAATGCTCTTCAACTGCCGCGCCAAACCACAGCCGCCTCCTCCACCTGCCGCTGCACCGCCGGAGCCGCGATTCCGATGCATGTACCCCAACTGCACCCGCAAGGCAGTCAAGTGCGAGCAGAAGGCCAAGGGCCACCATGCCATGCAGTCGCTCTACTGCAAAGATCGTTAGTCTTCCCTTATGTCCGTTTGCTGCTTTTGATTTGCTGACATCCTCCTCACCAGACGCATGCCGCCAGCGCCTCGACGACATGATGTGCCCAAGCCCGAAGGAATCCAGCATGGCCAAGTACTGCAACGACCGTATGTTTCCCCCTCCTACATCTCTTATCGACCTTGCCACTAACCAAACACGTCCATCAGATCGTCGTTGTCAGTCAGAGGGCTGCTCCCAAAATCGCCTCCTAGCAGATGTCAACTCCGACTGGCCTTACTGCGAGAAGCGTACGTCTCCTCCACTATCACCATTCATGCTCCCTCCCCCCTATCCCTCTCTTCTCGACCCCATTATTCATATCAGACAGCCTGGACTGACGCCTTACCCCAGACACCTGCACCTCCAACGGCTGCCGCCAGAAATGTTCCGCAACCTCGCGAATGTGCATCTCGCACACGCCGCTCTGCCTCATCCCCGGCTGCGACACGCCGCGCACCGATCACGGCCTCTACTGCCCCTGCCACAGCTGCTCCGACGCCGACTGCGCCGCCGTCATCAACGGCGGCCACTGGTGCAAGCAGCACCGGCTCTGCAAGACGGACGGCTGCGAGCAGGGCAGGGCCGTCACCGCGGGCGGACGGTTCGAGGACTTCTGCTGGAACCGTGAGTCCACCTTCCCCCCTTTCTCACAATATCCCATACATCATACTCACAAAACCACACCCCAGATCTTCCCAAGGCTTGTCTCGCAGCAGGTTGCAAAGCCATCATCAGCGGCAGCGTGCGCTTCTGCCCCCAGCACGAGTGCATGTACACCCCATGCCACGAAGCCAAAGACAACACCCACGACCAATCCCGCCTCTACTGCGCAAGCCGTACGTCTCCCCTCCCCCCTCCTCCTCCCTCAGCTAACAAGACCACAGACACATGCCACCACACTTCCTGCCCGCAACCAACCTGCAACCCCTCCTCTCCCTCGCTCGCGCGTTACTGCATCACGCACACCTGCGCCTCGCCCTCCTGCTACCACCCCTCCAAACCATCCTCCCGGCACTGCGCGCTCCACGCCTGCCTGTCCCCCTCCTGCCCGGCCCCGCGCACCGCAGACCCCCTCGCCGTGCCCGCCGCGCAGTTCTGCTCTGCCCACGAGTGCATCGCCCGTAACTGCTACGAGGCCGCGGGGATGAACGAGAGCGGCTACTGCGATGCCGCGCACGCGTGTGCGTCGCCGGGGTGCCCCGTCCCGCGCGGCCCGGAGGGTGGTTGCTGCGTGATGCACGCGGCCATCATGGCCCGCCCGGCGCCGCCGCTGTCGAGCACCGGCGCGACAGTCGGTGTCGGCGGCAGGGAGCGGGAGGGGAAGTACTACAGCCACATGGAGGAGACGCTGGGCCAGCGGCTGCGCGCAGAGAGGGAGCGGCACGTGGCGGAGATGCGGCTGCAAGAGGGCGCATGGCAGGCGGCTGGGTTCGAGAGGCGGCGGGGACGCAGGGAGAGGGTGAGGAGCTGCGATAGCGGGTATGTGGGCAGTCCGAGTGTGTCTGACGGGAGCAACTGCACTTTTGTGAGCTAGACGTGTGATGAGATGGGTGGGTGATGAGATTTGTGAGAGCGGTATCTGGATGACATGAGAGGCAATGTTTGGGATAGACTTGGGATGGTCATTTGTTTCATGATTCTGCCAGGAAGATTTAATCTTATTTGACTATTTAATGAGTGACATCTGGCATTTCTTCTACAGGTGTAATGAGTGGACGGTCATGTTTAGACCAGCAAACGAATTCCAAGCAAACAAACTGACTTCTCAAAAGCGGTGGGTTTCTCAACCCATGAGCGAGCAACTAACCAAAGCAACAAACTCGAAACCAACGAGACAGACGCAATAGCATCCACAAGAAAGAAAACATGCTCGAAAGAAGTCGCGATGCGACGGGGGGTTGACTCAAGTCATCCCCGAATGAGGTCCCATCGAGGTCCTATGGGATGCCTCACCACATCCTCTCAGACGCGATGAGACCGCGGGCTGTGCCAAGGCGACACCGGCAGGCGCGGGTGGGCGGGATCAGTTCACCAAACAGGCCAGACTTCGACATCCACCCCAACATGGAATACACGATATCCCAGCCGTGAGCAAAAGATGCGTCTGCCAGCTGGACGCGCCTAAGCCCACGCCCCGACGAGACTCATACCGAACGCGCCGAAAAAGACGAGCAGGCAGGCGTACACGCGCTTCCGGCCGCGCAGGATGCGCCAGCTCTCGTCGGACAGGAAGTCCTCGGCGAGCAGCTCGATAAGAGCTGCAAACACGAGCAGGCCCGAGGAGATGGCGTTCATCGTGCCCACGAGGATGAGACCAAACTCGGAGTCCGGGCTGTAGAGGCGGTGGGTGGCGAGGCCGATGGCCTGGCCGATGGGGGTGGTGCAGCCGTAGGCGAGGGCCATCATCCAGGGCTGCAGGCTACCCTCGGGCCAGGCGATGGAGGCGATGCGGGAGCCGAGGGCGAGGCCCTCGAAGGTCTGGTGGAAGGCGATGGCGATGAGCAGGATGACGAACTCGTGGCCGACGGAGACGCTGAGGGTCATGCCGATGAAGACGGAGTGGAAGAGGATGCCGACCTCAAGCATCATGCACTGGAGGATGTCCTTCTGGTGCTGCTGGGCGGGGGTGAGGACGATGCCGTGGGTGACACCGACGGTGACGGCGCGGGACTCCTCGTCGACGCGCTTGGCAAGCCTGTCACCGGCTTGCTCGTGCGCTTGGTCGTCGCGGCCGATGCGGGAGAGGGTGCGGCCGATGCTGTTGCGGCGGGCGCCGCGGCTCGGGGCCATCTCGAGCGGGTAGGAACCCGGATCGCGGTGGTCGTCTTCGTCGGCGGACTCGGGGCGGTGCGGGCCGAGGACGGAGGCGTCCGGGGTGTGGGACATGTGGCGGGCAGGCGAGAAGGCCATCTCGATGAGGGTGACGAGGAAGATGCCGGCCAGGGCGATGGCGCCCGGCATGGCGGGGTAGTCCTCGACCCAGAAGGAGCTGAGGCACGGGTTGCCAAGGAGGGTGAAGGCGGTCGGGAGGAGGTGGACGAAGGCGGTGGCGAGGAGGACGCCGGTGCCGAAGTGGCGGACGGCGAAGAAGAAGGGGCGGGGGATGCGGACGCCCGGGATGCGGGAGGCGATGAGGGGGAACGCGCAGGCGAGGAAGGAGACGCCGAGGATGATGAAGAGAGCGCCGACGTGGAGGGGGGTGTTGTACTTGTCTTCGTCACCGAGGCCGCCGGTCGGGCAGGTTGAGCGGCGGGTGACGCGAGCAGAGCGCTTGAAGGTAGCTGAGTGTGTTAGTGTTGTCACTCATGGTGCTGGCGATGGCGAGGTGAGGTTGAAGGCAGTGAACCTCTGGTTGGGATGATGAAAACACTCACATTGGGCGGTTTCCTTGGTTGCAAAAATGAACGAGGCGACGGCCTCGGGACTCTTGAGAGCCGAGATGATGGCTGAGCAGCCGACGACGGAAAGGGTCCAGCTCAGCCAGCCCCAGATGCTGGAGCGGGATGGGTCGGAACCCTTGAGAAGACGTGTATGGTCATCACCACCATGCACGTATTTGTTTCGGGGGTGGAATCCTTTGGACAGACGTCAGTTGGTGATGGTGATGGCTAACAACATCATCTTCGCGATGTTGTGAATAAGTCAGAGACAGAGGCACTGGAGGTGACTCACCGTGGTTCCACCCTCCCGAAACGGGCGCCCGTCGATCGGGCTGCAGACGCGGTAGGGTCTGGTAATTCATGTCATCACCCCGACCGTCGGATCCGTTGCCGGTGCCGTCGGTGCCGCGGCGGTGCTCGCGGGCGTTGGCGATGCCGTTCAGGTCCTCGCAGGTCGTCAGGTCCGGCGCGAGGAAGGGCGGGTTCTGGTTCCAATCGGGATGCTCCAGCGTGCATTCGTCGGTGCGCGAGGGACAGTTCATCGTGGCGGTGGGTGGGTGTGCCGTGGGACACCTTTGCTTCCTTCAAGTCTCTCTCTGCTGGCAATCGGCCTCAATTCAGTTCGTGCGTGTATGTTTATCGAGTGTGTTTGTGGATGTACGTAAGTGATGACAGTACTGCTTCAACGTGTTGATCGTAAGAGCATTCAACGACTTCGATGCTTCTTCAGTCACGGGCTCAAGGGGGTGATGTCGGACGATGATGTCAGGTACCCGCGTACCTAATATATGGGAACATAAATAAATCAGTGGCCGTCTTCGGGATCTAGAATTTTTAGGGGCAGGGGTGTCCAGAAGCTGCTTCGGCCAAATGCGGAAGCGAGTCACACAGCCTCAGCTCCTCCGCTCTCCCTGTTATCGCAACTCGCGCACCTCTGGCTCTGGCAGCCACTGAGAACCTCTTCGGAACAGGGTGGATCCTGCATCTTCGATATCAGCTCAGTTCGTCGAGACTGCAGGCACGGTTCGTGAGGTTTCTTTCCGTCTCCAATGCCCTGGTTTGAGGGCTCTTGCTTCATGTACATGGCTCGGGTGTCAAAACACTGGTTCATGTCCATCGCCACGTCTTCAAAATTCTTCATGCCATTGCAGTCCATCGGAATTGAGCGGCTATGAACATCACTCACAATTATTGAGAAGTCCCGACACATTCAAGATGCAGGTGTCCTGTTTGATGATCGGGTGCTCGGGGCCGCGGTCCACAGGATGGGTCTCGGCTGTCACCAGGCGCCTGGGGGAAGAGAACCTTGCCGGGGCCCGGTAGGCGTCTTCTGGGTCCTGGGATTGCCGGTCGGGCAACGGGCCTGAATGTCATTCAGCACGAAGAGTTTGATGGAATATTTCTGGCATTTTCAAGAATCGCATCATTGAGCCGCTCACTCTGGAAGATGACTGTTCTTTCGCCTGCCCTGGCTCTACAAACTGATTCATCTTCATGTTTGCTGAATCCCTACCTAAGCTGACACTGCTGCTGACACCGAACAACTCTCAACACATCCCGCATCTCACACATCGCCCTCCTTTGCGCCGAGGATGACCACAACACGAAAAGCAATAGCATCCAAGTGCCCCTCTCACTGCAACCTCCAAACATCACTGCATATGCTTCACGCCCTCCCCGCACCCGGTTCTTCCCATCGCTGCCTTGGTCACATCGCGCCGCGGTCGCATATCCCATCTCCCGTCCACTGATGGGCCTCCCACTTACCCCATGGGGCTCAGCGCTCCCGCTCTATTCCGAAGGCTTGCACCCAAGAACAAGATAGCCGACCCAGCGCCAGCGATAGCTGCGATAAGTCAGTTTCAACTTCCGACTTGCTGTCCGTAGTCTAGGTAGACTGTTGTTTGTTTATCCGGGGAAAAGACATCAATCAGGTGGGCGCGCAAGATCGAGAACCCGATTCTCGTCGTTCGTGGCCACGGCGTCCTGCGACAGCGCCCAGTCATGCCCTGCAAATGCCCAGGCCCCAAGACGGCTGGCGCCACCCCTTACTGACGCGTCACTTGAGCATCCGTGGCTGGGCACTTGGCCGGGCGAGCAAAACCACGAGCTTCAATTTGCTGCAATTTGTTTTGTATGCGGTGCGGTGTAGAGTTCATCCCTTCCAACCTCAGAATTAACAGCATGCTGGGCACGCTATGCACCGTTATCATTGGAGACGGCGTCCGATGGTTAAAACGCGCGCCGTAAACCGAGCGGCTCGGAGCCCATGTGCCCTCGCATCGCATGGGACTCTCAACTCGGACGACAAGAATGAAGGAAGGGCAGCACCTAGCAAACACAGTCCTGTAGATGAGTTTCTCTTCGCCCACCTTCGACGACATAAACACTCCATCCCGAAGCTGAGAGTGAGCGCTTGACGGCTGTCAGCTGGAAGGTTGCCAAGATCTGGTTCCCAGCGCTGCGATGAATCGGTGCAAACCCATCTTTACGTAAGATGCCAAGACACGTCTCGTATGGATGACTTTTGCGGTGTGGGCCAATCACGCCTTTTCCGTTTGTCATCTGGCCAAGGTCGCACGATCACCATCCCAGGCCCAGTTCACCGCTCGACAGCCACGAGGGTGAAGCTCAGACGAGAGTCGCGAGACCTCAAGAGAAGATACAGGCGTTGCCAAATGCGGCACGACTGGGAAATACTTGCAGTTTGGGGGGAGAGACGAGCGTCTTCTTCACGGGATGATGCAGGAACACCCAATGACTGGAGCTCATGTCATCAGCTCCACTGAGTGGGAACACTGAGTGTGTTTCCGCGCCGTACTATCACCGCCATCTTGAACTTTCAGCCTCGGTGAAAGGAAGACATTGAAGAGAAAAAGGCCTTGAAGAGGCTGTGTTTGCCTACGCCACATACCGACGCCAACTGCTCCTCACTTGTGGCTGAGGACCCATGATTGAAGTCCTGAAGCTTCGGTCTGCCGTCCTCCAAGCGCCAAAAGCCCAACGATGTCATTTCAACATACACATAACAGAGATATGATGGCATTTTCCAAACATCTGTATGACGAGTTTCCTCTTTGTTTTTGTCTTAATTGAAGACAGGGCCTCGTGTTTCAGAACGAAAGCCTGGTAACGCCTTCGCGTTGTGTCGGCCGGATGCGGGTTGGTTTTGCCACGCTGAGGCTGCACCACCATCGAAGCCGCCGTAGAGATCGCCGATGAGGGCTGAAAGTTCTCTCTCAAAGCATTCGGAGTTCATATACCCTATATTCAATTCGCAATCCACTACGACACATGCTATTCCATCGACTACTGCCTAACGCCAGCACATTGAATCCCAAGACTTCAATAGTATCACGGTACTCAGAAGATTTCTATCCAAGTATAACTAGAATTTTCGTAGTGTAATGTAAACCTCTATAAATTGGATGTAGCTGCGTTCAAAAGGTAGAAGGTGAATCCTTATACTTCTCTAAATTTACGGTTATTGAAGTTGGCGATTTGCGAGGGCAAAAAAAGTGTCGGTTAAGCGGAACACCACTTGATTAGTCTTACCCCGTACACACTTGCACTGACGTCATGCAGTAGTCGGTGGGATACCAAACGGCGAACGACATGCAGCGAAGCGTCGACGTCCATGACCTTGGTAGTGACAAGACATTTTGTTGCTCAAGTGTGATTGTCTCGGCCTTCTGCTCACCTCGGTGTGGCCGCTCTTGACTTGACTTGAAGAAAGTGACGACTGAGGTAAGGTCAGGGCGAGCAGAGTGAAGGAAGCTGCTCAGCGTCTGCGTACTGCGATAGCGGCGAGCCCGAGGATGGGAAATTAAGCATAGGCAAACTTAAAGCACTACGCAGTGAATAATTCATTTGAATTTATTTAGGTGTTCTTCCTGCCCCTTGAATTTGACTCAGTTTAAAATGTTAGCAGGGTATGGCACCCTTTTTTAGGTGCAGTTTGCTGCTAAATGAATCGCGTGGCACCCCTGGATGCCAGTGTACGTTCAGTACATATACACAGATGATAGGCAGCAACATCATGGAAAAAGCACATTTCGAATTGCCTTGTTTCTCTCGCGCCCGGCTTCTACAACGCTCCCCAAGATGGAGTTGTTCTCTGTTTTGTTCGCTCTGATCGCTCTTGTAGACTTTTCTTCCGCTCATCCGGCCGAGACTCACAGCATACACTCCAGCCTCCATCGCAAGCGAGCTTTGGACGGCTACTTCGTTGTAGACCAGGCGGAGGGAGACGAGTTAGGCTGCAGCGACAAACAAATCGACACGCTTTACACGGCTGTGATTGAGGCTAAGACCTTGGCCCGCAGTGCTTCAGATGCACTCGCAAAGCCAGAGTCTACGGGCTCTAAGTCATTCCTCAAGTGGTTTGGCAGTACGTTAATTGAACTTCATCACCAGCAACCAATACGCTAACTCGCCAAAGAGGAAAACGCCAACGATGCCATGAGAACAGCAATCAAAGCCAACAACTACGACCCCGTCGCAAACGTACAGCCGCCATGGGAAAAGAACCGGATCCACGACGCCAACCTGGCCGCACTCAGCCCGACGGGGCTCACCTTCGTGTGCATCCCCTACGACTTCGCGCTCTGCGGGCCGGGGGCTGCTGCCATCGCCTTCCAGACCGGATCCATCTCAGACAACACGGGTCCCTTAGTCACGTTGTGTCCTCCATTTTTCAGCAGACCTACATGGCAGAACATGGCCGACGATTGGCGGACGTCTGGGTGGGATAAGACTGGGAAGGTTCTGCTCACGTCGGGATTTACCTTACTACATGAGCTACAACACATTCCTCAAATCACCGGGGATCAGAGAAGGTGTACCGACGTCGACAACTATGCTCCCGCACCAAATGATGTTACCAAGGCGTGCTATCATCCTTACTGGTATGTATTCTGTGCACGAGCATAATGGCTGAACGTCTTGCTAATCCGACATCAGCTGTGAACACATTGACGATAAGGACAAGGTGCAAAACGCCCAGAATATGGCGTACTATGCATTAGATACTGTTGTAAACCCTTGAGACCTTTTCTAAAGAGATACCCCTGAATAAGAATACAAAGCGACGTTAAGGTTATGTAATGATACCCAGCTCACCCTGCTCATCTCGGTCGCAAGTAGTGGCTCATGAAGTGTTGCCTAAAGTTGAGATCCTAGATAATGTGCTACTTGCAGTCTGACATCATAGCATGAAGCCCAGTGTTGTCGACTTTGAGCTCAATCATGCCTCTTTCGTTTGATTGCGGGAAACCGCGAGAGAGTTGTGTGTCTGATGACAGAGTCGTCCGGCCGCCCTGGCCGCAAGAACCCAAGCATGTCGAGTAGCCCTTGACACGGAGACTGACCTATCTCCAGTGCACTTTGAACTTAGACTCACCCGCTCTGGGAAGACTCTGGTTGGTTGGATCAGATCAGCAAATATAATGATTACGAGAAAGTGCCCAACTCAGAGTCGCTGGGTCCATCACCGAGATGGTTCCTGCCGCACGTTACACCAGCTGTAAGATCGGAATCTGGTTCCCGATTGTCAACACGGGTAGTGACGTCGTTTCCCCATTGCTTGCTGTCTCTTCTGTGGGGTAGTTCGGATTAAGCCAGGAGAGCCGCGTATGGCTTCTTGTCGTCTTTGGTGATCCCTGGATAGACCAATCAGGGCCTTCCGTGTCCGAACCTCATTCCGCGTTCTCGCTTTAGGAGTTGCGGGCATCTCGGCAGAACACAAAGATCATCATTATAATTGCGATAAGTTGCACTATTCAAAAAAAAGTAGAAATACGATGTCTGCCCATCGCAAATCCTGTGAGTTGTAAAATCAGCCAACCACTTCCTCATCACTTACTCAAACCTCCACCGACGACTCAACATGTCGTATCCAGTCGTTCCCGTCTCTGCGTGCGCCGACGCCAACATCCCCATACCATCGCTCTACGGGGCCGAGATTCTCTCCTTGACGGCAGTCCCAGTGCTGAACTACACCCAGACTGCATCGCAGGACTACAACTACAACCACCCGACCATCAAAGCCGAGGGCGTCGACTTCTGCAACATCACGATCACGTACACCCACCCCGGCCAGGATGACAGTCTCGGTGTCGAGACTTGGCTGCCTTTGAGCACCTGGAACGGCCGCATTCAGTCCGTCGGCGGCGGGGGCTGGATCGCGGGCCGCTTCTTCCTTTCGTACCAGGCCATGACTGGCGCCGTTGCCGAGGGCTATGTTGCCTCAAGCATTGATGCCGGGCTTCAGGACAAGAGTGGCCAAGTTGCATACACCCCGGACGACTGGGCGATGGTCTCAGAGGGGAACGTCAACTTGTACAACCTCCAAAACTTCGGTTCCGTGGCCCTGCATGACCAGGTGAGTTGTAACTGAGTTCCAGTCGCACGACAAACATTGACACTCTCGGGTGTGTGGACGTGTCTTGCTAATCTTCTGCCAGTCTATCATCGTGAAGGCTGTCACCGAGAACTTCTACGGCCAGAAACACGAGTACGCGTACTGGAGCGGCTGCTCGCAAGGTGGCCGACAGGGCATGATGCTAGCCCAGAGATACCCCGACGCGTACGACGGCATCGCTGCCTCGGCGCCTGCAATCTACTGGAACGAGTTCTTCTCGGCGTCCATCTGGGCACAGACGCTCATGAACTCCCGCGGAGAGTTTCCCGAAGGCTGCGAATTCGACTACATCACTGCCGCCGCCATCGCAGAGTGCGATCCCATCGATGGCCTTGTCGATGGTCTCGTCTCTGATGAATCGGCCTGCGAATTTGACCCGATGACTCTAGTGGGACAGCAGTTCAACTGCTCCGGCAAGACATCCACTATCAGCGAGACGGCTGCGGTGGTCGCTGCGTCGACCTGGGCAGGCCCGCGCACCCCGGAGGGAGACTTCCTCTGGTATGGCCCGAACCTCGACGCTCGCCTCTCCGGCGATGCGTCCGGAGGGGCGCAGACTTCGGATCTGGGTTATGCCCAGACCGCCTGCAGCAACGGCACCTGCGAGGGCGCGCCCGCTGGATTTGGCGACAAATGGATCCCCCTCTTTGTGCAGAAGAACTCATCTGCATCCTGGAAAGACTTGACCCCCGAGAACCTCCCCGTCTTCTTCAAAGAGTCCATCCGCGAGTTCAACTCTATCATTGGGACTGCTGATGCAGACTTGTCTGGATTCCGTGCGTCTGGTGGGAAACTCATGACCTACCATGGCACTGTAAGTCGATCTTCTCAACGTCGTTCAAATGCATACTAACTGTCTCCGATCCAGGCCGACGGCCTCATTCCCCTGAAGCAGACGACGCACTATTACAATGAAATCCTGAAGCTGGACCCCAAGGCTCAGGACTTTTACCGTGTCTTCGAGGTTCCTGGGTTGGCCCATTGCGCTGGGGGTGTGGGAGGGCAGCCAACTGCCATGTGGGATGCTCTCGTTGCCTGGGTAGAGCAGGGAAAGGCTCCAGACTCACTTCCTTTGCAACGGAAGGATGAGCAGGGCGACAATGAGGAGCGCTTGATCTGCCCGTACCCTCAGCGTTCCCGCCTGGCCTCGGCTTCGGGGGGCAACACCACAGCCGGTGCTCAGTGGCAGTGTGTTGAGGCCTAAGCAGTCTCATATCCCGGCCCTCATCCGCGCATTTTCATTTGATTCTTGTATTTGTCATCGGGCTTTGTTGACGAGAAAGTGACGAGATCAAGTGCTGGATCTTCAGGTACAGATCGAAATTAATCCACCAAAGTGTTCGTGTTCAAGAACGGCTCTTTTATTACTGTAGACCACTTAAGGCCCGCATCAAGTGAGAGTGACTTTGGCAACAGGATCAAGACTTTTACCATCGAGCTTGTTGGCTGAGCGCAGATTTCGCCACCCTCGGCATCGTGGGTCAACTAGGGCTTGATCCGCTGACACGGTCAGCGTGACCTGTATGATTCAACAGGACAAACTCGCAATGCTTCCTCTGTGGCAGCTTATACGGGGCTGTCCTCGTATGAACACGGATGGCTCCCGTTGACGCCATCCTGTGAAGGGATGTGATCAGATAAGGCCAGCTACTGTTGTCCTGGTGTGATTGGGTGGGAGTTGCAACTTATCGTGAAGTCGGAGATCTGACGGGGTTCAGCCGTCGTCTCGGAATCTTTGTCGTCGAGATATTAATACCTCAACTCATCTTGTCGCGGCTGACCCGGGTCTTCGGTAGAGGATTGTGCCGTTGGCTGTACATTAACCCGATCACCTGACATGAATGGAGTCTTCAAAGAAGGCATTGAATCATGCTTTGTTAGTCAACTTCATACAGAAGAGAGGAGAACCACGATGTAAAAGCCCACACGCCACGTATTCTTCAGCAGGTCGGAGCCTTTTACCTTAAATGCGGAGGCTTTTACTTGAAATGGAGACCCTCCAACTCAACCTTGGCTTGGGGCTAAAACGTGACGATGCAGAACCCAATCGCGAGCGAGCGACAGGCATGTTTTATCCTCGGGATTCACCCCGCATTCACCCCCGCATCGCGTCGATCCCGAGCCCCGACCAATGCCCTGTTTGCCCGCCATGTCTTCAAAAGGCCATGTATCCCGCGGGATTCACCTCTGCTTCCCCCGCAACACACCCAAAATCGTACGTTTGTCTGTCCATCCTCACCCCGACCCCCGGCCGGCCAGATTGATTGTGGCAACCCCCCACCACTCACGGCAATGGTGATTACTTTCCGGTGGAAGGAGACAAGACAGTGAGTACCGAATGCGGCAGGTTTCGGATGACACTCGGACACTCTTGAGAGAGAGGCAGAGAGAGAGACGAACAGATCAGGGGCCCGTCGGTGGTTAGAGCTACATGAAGCCCCGACGCTGCTGCGACGCCTGCCGGCGGCGTCACCGCAAATGCGTCGTGCAACCCGGCGCAACGGGCTGCGGCGCCTGCGTCGAGGCGGACTTGGAGTGTCACTTTGATACCACATTACGCTTTAAGCATGCACCCGGCAGCTCGAGGAAAAGTGCCTCTGTCGGCGATAAGGTCCAGAAGCTGGAGCAGCAGAGAGGTGTGACTTGACTTTCCTTTCCTGGACAACTTTCCCATCACAGACATTCTGTTGCAATTTATACACATTGTCAATCCCTTGGCTTCCTTCTCAAACCTTCACATCGCTCCATTTCGTTACACCAGGGGCTTATTTTATGTTCAGCCAGACGTAAGAGCGAGGCAAGTCGAGGAGTAGAGGAGACCGGGACCGAAGCCTCCTCGTCACCAGCCACTCAGTCCACCCAGGCGGCCGCGAGGAGTGGTAGCGTCGGATCTCACGCGTCACCGCACGGCTCAGCGTCCTTCGAGAGCCAGCAACTTACTTTTGCCTTCTCTCCTCCTGCGGGATCGAGGCCTGGCGAGGCGCCTGCTCAGAGGTTCACCGGCCACGGATCGCACGGTGATGGGAATGCACCCATCGGGTTCATGTTGAACAGGGGCCCGCCGGCTGAGCCTCCAAATCGATCAAGCTTTGCCTCTAGCCCCGGTTATCTCGATTCCATCCGCGATGGCCTGGCCTCCGAGTCTGGGGGATGGAATCCCGGGGAGGTCCAACCCCAGCTTCAGATATCGTATCTCCTAGGGGATTCTCCGTCGACTCAAGGCGGATCAGCACCGCGTGAACGGACTGAGAGTCTTATATCAGATGTCGAGGTACGACCACAGCCTACGGATCCCGAACACTGCGGCTTTACCGGACGTCAAGCATATCTGTTCCGCACATACATCATGAGGATAGCTCCTTCGGTAGGCTTCACTTACGTGGTCTCTGATGATTAATCATCCCGTCTAATCTCACTCCACACAGATTGATGCATGTCACGATGCCCGTCCGTTCACCCTCGACGTCCCTCGCCTAGCTCTCAGCACACCAATCCTCCTCAACGGCATTTTCGCCCTCGCGAGCCGATTTGACACACAAGCTGACGACAACGCCGAAAAGACTGATCTTGAGAGCACCTACTACCACAATCGATGCATCGAGCTGCTCATCGAAGCCTTCTCGCAACCACCCGAGACCTGGGACTCTACCCTCCTGACGGCCGTCGTCATCATGCGCCTATACGAGGAGTACGACAACGAGACGGACTCACATTACCACCATCTGCGCGGGACCCGCAACTTGCTGAACCATGACGCGATTGCAAGGTTCGTCACTCAAGGCGGGCTTGCTGAGGCGGCCAGCTGGGTGCATTTGAGGCAGGCGCTATATGTATTCTTGGTACGCCGAACACCGATCGAGATCTGCCTGGAGAACTTCGAAAGGTCTTCCACCTTCAGGATGAACGATGACACGGCGCAAGCGAACCGGATAGTCTACCTGTTCGCGAAGGTGTTGAAGCTCTTCTTCCCCGATGATGGCACGGGATTTCTGGCAAGCAGCACCGCCGCCTGGGAGGAGCTTCAGGGTGAAGTCGAGGCTTGGTATCGAGACAAGCCGGTGTCATTCCGTCCGCTGTTTTATGACCGGCCGGATCTGGCGAGGGGGAAGCCGTTTCCGGTGTTGTGGATGAGTGCATGCCCAGGTGAGTGCATCTTGAGGCCCTGGTCGCAAGACCTGGAAGCATTTGACGATAAGAACGATCGCTGATATCGGCGTTTAGCAACCGTTGGTCTGGGATACTACTATGCCTCAAAAGCCATTTTCAGGTTTCAAGATTACAACAGCTCAAACTCAATGGTTGGTTTCGAGGGCACGAAGAAGCGGTTCGACAGCGAGGTAAGCCACATGTGCTGAAGTCTGGCAGGATCTTCAAGCTAACGAAATCTCCAGCGCGAGATAACATTCTACTTGTGTATTCTAATGGGTTTGGCACTTTCAAACGAGGCTGTGAATGCGTATTATCTCCCAGCGCATATGCTGTCTCTTTGTAAGTCCCATCAAGACGAGTCATTGCACGTTGCTATGACATGCTAACAGTGGTACAGGCGGACATCTCATACGACATCCGCTGGAGAGAGAACACACGATAAAGTACTTGGCACAGGTGAGGAATATTGTGCAATGGAAAACAGGGGCGTTGGTCAAGACATTGAAAGAGCAATGGGCTGAGCTTGACAGCTTCTAATCAATGATTCAAATTCATCCGCGTGGCTATGCAATTTGTTCGTGGCGTCATCCCGAAAAGACACTGTGACACCTATGCTTTACAGTCTCATACTGCCTTGACGAATCAAATACCGTCATTGAAGCTGTAGTGCTTGTCCCAGCGCTGTTTCTCGTCAGCACCAGCTCGTAGCGATGGGTTGAATAAAAGAACTCACCGTGTCCCAGGGACGGCTCTTATCGACGAATCGGAGATCTGTGCCGAGCCTAATGCGCCCTTCAGGGTCAAAGTTCTTCGTTGAAGCGTGGATCTAAGGTTTTGGTCAGCAAATGATAAAAAGAATGAGTGCTGCAAGCCGACTGACCATATGCGCCGTGTGGAAAACAACATCACCAGCCTCGTAAGCAGAGACAAGCCACTTCTTCCCATACCTGCGCCCAAAGTCCGCAGGTCCGTCGCAGAGGAATCCCGTGGTCATCATGTTCGCATTGAAGGCATTCCTCGTCTCCTCATCACTCATGCCCTTCGCCTTGGCCTGGGCTGTGAACTCATTCTCAATCTCCTCGCCGAGCTTCTCGCCGTCTTGCATATAAATCAAGCCTCCACCCTGGAGCCGGACATCGCCCATGGGAACCCACGCAGTGACGGAGGTAGGCTCGCCGTAGCGCATGAACGACTGGTCATAGTGGACTCCGATAGCCTTATTCCCGGGGGTGTTGTTCCTCAACAGTGACCTCTTGACAGGGAGTGTGTTGTCTCCCCAGCCCGTGAACTTCGCCACAAAGTCGCGTAGGGCGGGGTGATTGCAGAAGCCCTGCACCTTTCCGTCTTCGGACCCCGCATACCAGTCTTCCGTGTGTGCCTTCAAGGCCTGGTCGGCGAAGATGGCGGACCGGTCCGTCTCTCCGGGCCGAGAGTTCTTCACGCTGCCGGCGCCGATGCCGGGGTAGTCGCCGGGTGATTTCGCATCGTCAAAGATGCCGTCGCGTGGTGATGTGCCGGGCTTGATAACCCCTGATGGCTCGAGGGACTTGAAGTAGGCTTCGCGAGCGTCGAGAACGTCCTCCCGAGGGAGAATGCCCTTGAGAAGAAGGTAGCCATTTTCACGGTAGCGTTTACGTAGGACCTCGAGGTCTTCTGTTGGGTATGAGGGGATGAGCTGCTCTACTTCGTTGGGTGAGAGGAGGTCGTCGTTGACATGGAGCTGGACGCCGGCGATCGTGGGAGGACCGGCTGGCGTGGGAGACTCTGCATGCGGCATGGTGAGTGTCTGTTGTTATCCGTTGGTTGCTCTCAATGAACGGTGGTGTGTTATACGATATTCTGGTAGAGAAAGAGGCAAGTGAGTATGCGATCGATGATGTGAGTAAAGAGAATTGGATAAAAGCAGGCACTCACAATGAACCCATCGTGAGAAGACCCTTTAAATAAGTATCCTACCAGCCGCCGGGCATCAACACCCGGCAAATTCAAGAATAGCCATTCCCGCCCGAAATTGGCGCCGCGTGCCTTTCTTGGCCATAGGGCGCGGTCCACGAATCTCCTTGAAGAGAAAAGTAATCCGCGGGGTAAAAGCAGAGCATCCGCCTCTTACCCGGCGAATAATTGCCTCATCGGGATAGCTCTGACAGCTGTGGCTTGGAATTCTCCCCATATATCCCCCGCATTTTCAGGCATTTTGCGGCGAATGTCCCACGCTTGACGTTATCTGATCCCCACCCCTATTGTTTTGCGATCAGCTACGCGGGATGGCAAATGTCAGATTGCCGAGAGGGACGAATAGTTTTCAAGGGTCATGCGGGTGTGCTAGGTCAGTAAGCGGCTTGGGAATGTGTCTGATCTCCACTGGTTCGGAAGGGGGCTGGAACGTGTGCCGTGCCGGCGGGATTGCCGGGACGGATTGGGAAGGCACTCGCCGGGTGACGGAAATCATGGCCACTCTTCCGGCGGAATTGATAACTATTCATCGTCACGTCGCCGTAGACTACCAAGATCAATCATCGACGTTGAAGAGAGAGCCTGTTTGAAGAGAGAATCTGTTACGGCATGAATCTTGGCACTGCTCATGACCTTGTAGGAATATGATTGATGGGGTAAGTCACGTCGGACAGAAGTCCGAGCATACGCATTGCGCTGAATCGGAGGAAAGTGGTAAATTTGAGGATAGGCCCAGCCGAGGACCATACGTTCGAGCTCTTACTCAGACTACGCGTTGCGAGACATGTAACACGATTCTTCAGATGTTCATCCCATCCGTTAGCACAACCTCCTGCCTGATTGATAAAAATCTCAAGAGATGAAAATTCATTGATCCTCCAACTTCTCCAAAACACCGACACTGATGTCGGTGTTCGAGGCTATTCAGCGGGTCATTTACAATCCTTCTACGGAGGGAAATTCCAATTTCAGCGGTCCATCATTCGTCTTCATAACCAAGAACGACACAGAGCATAAGCACTGGTCTACAGACTTTGCTTGTTTGGATGCCGGACAGTACCACCGGATGTGTCTCATTATATTATTGGTTGAGACTGATATCGGAGCTCCGTCTGATCTTTTCCATGAATTCAACTAATGTCAATCGCAAAATCAACTAGCGGGGTTCGCGTTGTCATCTCACAATTGAAGTAGGAGAGAAAAAGATACCGCAAGCCGCACGGAGAGCTTATGAGCAAGGACGGGAACCAATGACCTTTCTGTCATCCTGCTATTGAGCCTTGTGTCCTTGGTTTGTAGAAGCCAACAGCGTCAGCATAGATCCCTGCTATCTAGATTGGCGTCAGGTGCTGAGATTACTTGAAGGATACAAATGCTTCAAACACGACAAATCCAGACGGTAACCTGTTGTACAAAGAAAACTTTAAAAGGCGGAAAAGAAGAGACGTGTAGAGGCTGCGACTCAATCAATGTCGTATCCCATCGGCTGGCATATGACTGCGACAGCCGATGGGATAAGCATGACTAGACACCCTTTCGCAACCCTGGGTTAGGGTCATTGTCCCTCCGTCGCATGCAAAAGTATAAAGCAAAGAGTTGAGCACGAAAAGGCAAGAGATTAAATGATATCTGACATATTACTTTCTAATGAAAAATAGCCACACATCTCTCATCTTGCTTTCATCATGCAAATCAACGCATACCTAGTTGTGCTTGCTTCTTTGGCCATCACATTAGCCGCAGAGCTGCCGTCAAAGGTCGTACAATCGGCGCCTAATCCTGTTCTGGCTGCACGCGAGGTTTGCTGTACATTACCGCCTGCAGGCGGCCGTTGCGTGAGTTGTGTAGTCCAACTATGAGTCATTTAATAACTAATACATCATAGACCTGCAAAGCCAATAGCCGCTCAGTCAGTTGATAAGCTAACACTCTACCACTGCCGAATGGGAATGCTAATTTTGCCGCAGGACTGCGATAAAGGAATTTGCATCTAAATGTGTGCAAATGACACCGGTCTGGAAGCCTTGCGTTGTGAGGGTTAAGGCTTCCGCGTGCAAAATTAGTGAATTTAAATGATGGACTGGATTGATTCAATGGATAAAGCGTATGCATGAGACGCAGCAAGAAGGACAAGCAGTCAACTTCTCTCCGGCAACTAAGAAAAGGTGCCGACCTGAAATGCGAGGCACTCAGGGCTATACTAGGACAAGGTTTCTCAGCAAATAACGCGATGCGAGGTGGGATAGAGTTCAGTTATGCTCGGCTTTGCTTGCCGAAGGGTGACAAACGGGGGATCGAATACACATAAATGAAACTGGAATAATTTACCACCACCTTTCTCGCATCTATTAGGCTTTCATTAGCGTGCTTTCTTTTTTGATATCAAAGCGAGCTGCGCGGGTGCGTCCGACTCTAGGCCTGGCTCATGATGATCTAGCTCGGCCGTTAAAATCATTAACGATGTCGCCATCCTCGCCCTGGACTCATTGCACAATTTGAGAGTCTATCCTAAGGCGCACGCCCTTACTAATTTCATCTTCACATCTATTAATTCTTTGATGCCGTCTGGAGTTACAGCACCGGACATAAAAGGGGATACACGCAACAGACTTGCCATTTCCGAAGCCCTCACGTTGTGGTGCCGTTAGCTGCTCTTACCTCGTCACGATGGCGCTATCATCATAACAGTAAGACTCGGTCAAATCAGAACGCTGGAGCGTGAGAGTTCCATAAATTAGTTGCTTTTCACGGGCTTGCGACAACTGACACTACGCTTCTGGTGTCTCTGGAACCGATCAACACAACTTCATCCGAGGTTCGTTCATGTCTTGTCGCGCTTTGCTACTGAACGTTAACTGAATATTCTAAGCCCATCAACCGCCGTTGGGCTCGGCCTCCTTTGATAATGGAAAACCTTCGTTTTCATTCTTATTCTAGTAACGATGTTGCAAATCACTGTCACGGCATCAAACTGTTCTGAAACACAACTCTCTGAAATCATTCTTGAAACTGGCACTGTTGAGTTCGATGGCAAGTAGGATTCCAAGTCCGATTTTGTCGGTGAGGACCTGTGGAATGCACGCCCCTTCGGTGGTACCAATAAGGGCCTTCTAAGGCTTGCGAATATTCGGACGAGCGTCACATCATCTGCATCAACAACGACGATCTTTAAATTCGCTTCCGGACCAATGCGGGAGACGAATGCACAAAGAGGCTAGGGCTCACACAAGTCACACGTTACTCTGTATTCGGAGTATCTCCTGGTCACAACATATGCAACTAATAGCTGTCGATGGATTTAATACGACAGAGGTGTCATGATAGGGAATGCTAGAGTCCCTGGGCGGAATTGATACAATGAAGGCTAGCAATCAGTTTGACATTGATCGGAAGTCAATTGCTCGGTGAGCTACGGGACATCGAAAGTTCTCTGTGGCTATGTAGTTTGTATCTTGAGCACAATTGCTGCTCGCCGGATTAGCTCATTTGTTCTAATTACTAGACATGGTAAATTATTGGACTGTTTCTTGTCGAACTGACGCTAACTCGTCTTGCAGACCATTGCAAAACTTGATAGAATAATTGTTGTATAAAATTATAAGTCGTCTTAGGTGTTGTCTTCCGGCAACCTGGAATATTGAGCCTAAGGCGGACAATTCGCGCTTAAGGCAATGAAATAACGTACTTATATATCCTCCATTGAAAAAATAGTATAATTGCAGTTAAAATGAAAAGGTTTAGTAAGGTTTTTGATGTAGGGTGGCGGGACATCAAGCAACTACTTACATGATAAGGGTAAGAAACATAACATAGATTTTGGAATGTATGGATAACGGTACTCCAAAGGCAACTGATAAAAACTAAGGTAATGATGTTCTTCTTACCAACAGAGTTATGCATACTATTATGCAGCGGCGTTGGCTGGCGTTAGGCACTTGTGCCTTAAACATACACACATGTATCCGTATCGCCCACATTCCGGGGGTTGCGTTACAGCACAGGAATTAGCAGCTGCTAACGTGCATATCCTCCCGTCTTCCATCACAAGCGAACCCCCACGAATTCCCAAGCGGCAGTTATCGTCGGTATGCATCTTTGGGCCTATCCGGTCGATATCATTGGCCTTCCTAGGATGATTACGAATCCTACCACGCAGTGTACGTCTCCCCAGGCTCACTAAAGCACTGCAACCCCCCGGATTCTCATTTCAACTACCTCTGGCCTGTATTAGAAGCTCTCGCGACGACTTTACGCAGAGCCTCATGTTCAAAATCAACAACACACGATCCGAAGTCATTGTCCTGCCTCACGTGCCAACAAAGTTCGTCCTGCGGATACGAGAACCTCGGTGCCAAGTCGGGATGTGTTCCTATCTGCCCCACTGAGTTGAAGTCTTGGCAATACGACTGAATGGAGACGCTGGAGCCTTCACATGCTGGGAATTTCCCGCTCTCCCTCGTGTCTCCCAGAACCTAAGAACAGTTGAGCTCAAATATCAAAAAGGAAGGACTTCAGTTGAGAGCTATCTGCTTCCTGCTGACAAGTGTGATCGTAGGAAAAGATGACATGCGCAACAAAGTGCGCAATTGCGCTCAATGATTCCTTCTGAGCTAACCCTGCCGCCAAGCACGGCGCACATTTCCTCTCCCGCAAACCTCGGCCAGCGAGACACGCCAGGATTCTTTATCTCCTTCCTAATCCCTTCCCCGTCGGCTCGGCCCCAGAATCGTTGCGATCTCTTCTCGCCCAGTCTGCCGAGAGGCGATTTCCCACCTGATCCGTCATTCTCAAGCAGGTGTGCGGCACGCAGGACGCCTCGCCCCTTATTTTTCCTTCTTCGGTCTCAGTTCTAAGAGGACCTACTGTATTTGACTGCCGCCGCCATCGGCGCCTCCCTCCCGACTCCTTGCAGCAGGATGTCCAACCTTGGAATTTCCCTACGAAGCACAGCCCAATGATCAAAACCAATCCAATTCGTGAACCCTCGCCAAGCTGGAGTTCGCCTTTTCGTGATATCAGTGCGCGAGTCACGCGACCGGCCGGGCCCGGACTCCGCCGTTCTCCAATCCCCCAATGAAGCTTTCCCGAAGCCTGTCTCTGGCCGGTCACTCGAATTCGCCCCGTCCATGTTTCTCTCAAGCTTGTTCCTTGGCTTCGCGACGGCCCCCCTATCGCTTGACGGCAGTTGCCCAAGACATCCGAGCTCCCCTCGTGGCGGCTTGGCGGGACCCCACAAGCCTATCTGCCATCTACAAGGGAGTTTGCGTCACTCGCAGTTGACTGGGTCAGCTCGGGCGAAGAGTTCATGGCATCATGTGGGCTGCACGAGGATCGATTGGCATCCGTTCGAACAGCCTGAATCGGAATGGTAAATCCGAAAGACAACTCCACAGGTCAGCACGGAAAAGCGATGTGCGAGAACGAACATGCGACGGTGACTCGATTGACTATTCAGGAAGCTCGATATCTTCAATCGCGGGTTGTCAACGAAATTCAAACAGGAATTCTGACCTTGATGTCTGCATGGACGCTCGAATCTGTACAAACAGCCGCCGCAGCATGCGCTCGAGTGACAACATGATGAATACGAGTATCCATCTGCACCAACTGACAGAAAACCAATTGCCGCGGTACCTGGATGCCAATCCTTCCACGCATCAGCGTTCACACGCATCAGCAGCGCGTCCCGATTTCCCCAGACCATTCACCCTCCTTCATGTAATGCTCCTTCATCTCAACTGCGCCGTCAGCTGTGCCGTGTCTTCGCCTCCAGACGTTCAGCTGTCCAATTGCCCCTTGCGGTACCTGCGCTTCCAGGGCCAAGACAAATCGGGGCACCCTTTTCTTTTGGATCCGGACGACGGTGAGCGCCTTGGCCGGCAATTGGCCCGTCTGGGGATCTCCCGTCTCCATTTGGAGTTTATTCAACCCCCGATTTTCTCGGATATCACTACGGAATTGGCAGGCGGGAAAGATGTGGGTTTGCGCCACCTTTAATTAAGTGCTGGTCCGCCTACATCGGCTCTGACCAATGCCCTACGCGACCTTCCATTTTAAGCATAATTGGGTGTGTTAAGGCTCCTCAACTAAGGCAACGTCCAACGGTCTGCTGTCAGCCAAATCGAGGATGACTTGTTTGCCAAGAAGCCAGTGCAACAAACCATGAATCGACACGCTTGGATGTCCCATTGAATGGCACAGCGGTCCCCGCCAGCGCGGAATTGCTTTGTGGAGCTAGATCGGACGTTTATTCACAATATTGACAATGATAGAGTATGGTCAATGCCCGGCATGCTTCCCGCTTGGCTTTCTTGAACCGCGGAGCTGGTTTCCGCGCATCAGCGGAAGAACCAAGCTTATGGATAGATTAACTGCTGGGGAATAGAGGGCATTGCTGCCAATGATGCACGCTTACCCCTTGCAATTGCGGATAAGTGTGTCAATTGCTTTTCAGCCTTCGGAGGCAACAGTTCCCACCCGCAGACAACTCGCTCTCGTATACAGCTCACGGAGCCCACAGATTCCTTGCTCCATCACCACGATCTAGGTCCAGTTTAGGAAGCTTGACAGCCTGTAGCTGGAGACCATAGACTTGGCAAACTATCACGCAAGATACCACGCCGATAGGCGCAATGAGATGTCGGATTGACAACATCCAATGTCTCCTCCTCCTACTCACGCATCGTGAGAATCATGTATAAAGATGGCCGCCCTCCTCGCCATCCTCTCAGCTTTTGTTCTTCAGCCTCAGCCCCATGCTTCAAGCTCAGTCGCCTCCCTGATCTAATCCTCAAGGTTTCCCCTCATCGGCCAAAATGACCAACTTCCGCCGCCTCGCCCTCGCCGTCGGAGCCCTGCTCCCCGTTGTCCTTGCCGCTCCCGCCGCTATCAAGCGCGACGAGCCCAAGTTCGCCCCCGGCAAGTACATCGTCACCCTCAAGGAGGATGCCGCCGCCAACGTCGACTCCCACTTGACCTGGGTTGCCGATGTCCACCGCCGCTCCCTCGGCAAGCGTGACACCGTCGGTGTTGAGAACAAGTTCAACATCAGCAACTGGAACGCTTACTCTGGCGAGTTCGATGAGGCCACCATTGAGGAGATCAAGAAGAGCCCCGAGGTAGGCCTCCTCGCCAATCGTCTCATCCTGGACGAGCAGCAGACTGACATCATCATCATAGGTCGCCCTTGTCGAGCCTGACTACTACATGTACCTCTCCGACTTCGTCGTTGAGGAGGTCAACCCCAAGCGCGCCCTGACTACCCAGTCTGGCGCCACCTGGGGTCTCGGCACCATCTCCCACCGCACCTCTGGCTCTACCCAGTACGTCTACGACACCTCGGCCGGTGCCAACACCTACGCCTACGTCGTCGACTCCGGTGTTCTCTCCACCCACAGCCAGTTCGGCGGACGTGCCACTCTCGGCTACAACGTCTTCTCCTCCGCCCACGTCGACTCCATCGGCCACGGCACCCACGTCGCCGGTACCATCGGTGGCTCTACCTACGGTGTTGCCAAGCAGGTGAGTTGAGCCTCAAGCCCACATCAGTTTCATCAGCCGGGACATCCCGCTCCCGCAACTGAGGGCAACCCCCCACTCTTCCTTGACCCATCCACTAACACCACCCAGACCAACATCATCTCCGTCAAGGTCTTCGAGGGCCGCCAGTCCACCACCTCCGCCATTCTCGCCGGCTTCAACTGGGCCGTGAACGACATTGTCTCCAAGTCCCGCGCTTCCCGCTCCGTCATCAACATGTCCCTTGGCGGCGAGGCCACTACCACCTGGACCACCGCCATCAACGCTGCCTACAACCAGGGCGTCCTCTCCGTCGTTGCTGCCGGCAACGGTGACGAGAACGGCAACCCTCTCCCCGTCTCCAGCCAATCTCCCGCCAACGCCCCCAACGCCCTGACCGTCGCCGCCATCGACTCCAGCTGGCGTCCGGCCTCCTTCACCAACTACGGTGCCGGCGTTGACATCTTCGGACCCGGTGTCTCTATCCTGTCCTCCTACATCGGCGGCAACTCTGCCACTGCCTCCCTCAGCGGTACCTCCATGGCTGCCCCCCACCTTGCTGGTCTGGCCGTCTACCTCCAGGCTCTTGAGGGTCTCTCCACCCCCGCTGCCGTCACCAACCGCATCAAGGCCCTCGGCACCACTGGCCGCGTTACCGGTACCCTGAGCGGCAGCCCCAACCTGGTTTCCTTCAACGGTGCCAGCGCTTAATTGCGACTACCTCAGCAAACTTCCTAGACAGTAGAAAGAGGAGGATTGAAAACATTGGTTGTCTATGAACAATAGTCTTTGTCTGACCATATTTCCTTCTCTAAAACTTTGGTTTAGAAGAGTTGTGGGGTTATCAAGATATGTACGACATGAGCATGTAATCGAAGTAGCTGAATAATATTCATTCCTACCATGCTACCTCTAACTTACAGAATGATCTTGTCGAAATGAGGTTGCCTGCCTTAACTCCTTCTCCGCTCTCATGCTCATTTAGGGTAGCTACCCCACGCCAGATAGGTACCTGTCTTCTGCCTGCCTCACCAAAACCTCACATTGATCCTCTCGCATTTCTCCTCGCAGACCTTGTCCATTTGCATGGCCCCATCCCACAAAACCTTGGCGATGGATTTATCACACTCTGGGTGTAAAGCGAAGATTTTGCTGTCTCGCAGTATTCTTCGAAATTTTCTGGGGCTGTGACGGAACGCATCCTCTCCGCAAATGGTCTCGAGCGACAATCCCTCATGAGCAAGGATCTTGACCAACGATCCCAGAATCGTACAGCAGCAGCGATGGTTTTCTGCTGACTGTGTTTGTACCAGATACCGGCATTCGTATACAATCGAGGATCCCGTACGGATGTTCAGGCCTGTGGTCAGCGTCCACAACGCCACTCCTATCAAGGACTGTCGTCCTTCCTCAATCATCTCTGCGATGGGTATGGTCAGTTTTGAACTGTGACACGAAGTTGTTGTTCGCATACCAATGAGTCTCGTCGATCTCAGATAGACGAAATCTTCGAGTGGAAATGGATGGGGTCCAAGGCCGTGATCAAAATGCAACTGATCATCTGAGCCAACGACCGAATTTTCAATCATCGCCCGCATCATCTTCGAAAACACTGTTGAGTCACCGAGTTCCCAAGCGACTCCCAGCAGCCGATAATCCTGCACAAAGTTCTGCAGCGGGGCGATCCACGAGCGCCCGAATCCTCGCACAATGGCGGAGGCATCGTACTTGTTGGTGAGAGTGAGCAGTGCGTATAAACTTGCAAGCGGCAAGGGTCTCGGTATTCTATCGAACTGCACATGAACCATTGCCAGAAACAGCCCCATCGCTCGAGTGTCATCTTCAGGCAAGTCGACCACCCAATCACCAACAGCGGGGCGAGACTCTGCAAACTTGCCAAAGAGCATCCTCTCGAAAACTAGCGATTTCCGAGCGAGACTGCGAGAACAGGTTTGATAGAGTGTCTCCGTGGGTCCTACGCGAAGGATCAGGTCGCCATCCTTGTCGCAGACTTTGACTTCAGTGGGTGTCGTCATCTTCGGAGTTGCGCAGTGGCCGACCATGTTGGACCCTGAAAAGTTGAGTTCGGATGATGGGTGATTGAATAAAATGGCAGTCTTAGGTACTTATGGAAAGCATTTTAGGCAAAAGTAGAGTGCTAGGCAAACGTCAACACTCGCTTCGGTCTACTTCTATGCCTTTGATGAATTCATAATCACAGGCCTTGAGACAGCCATGAAAGACCATTTTGAAACATTCCACCATTGTAATGTACTCTGGCGAGACACCCTTTGTGGGGGTCCCACAGTTTATCTTCTACCCAGACATTGTAGTTCTATCTAGAATCTATACGGCTTCTGAATCTTTCAGAGCTGAGTCAACATTCAAGCATGTGTATGATTTGTTTCTGAATGACCATCCCAAAGCTTACCACCATGAAGGATCGGCGCGTTGCTGCCCCCAGGACGCTGCAGGTTGTTCTATGCGCCTCGACTGCCCCCAGAACACCTCCTCTTTCGCTTTTCTATCAAACTTCCTCGTCAGAAATCCCATCACCTCATCTTCCGCTCTCGTTTCGGGATTCCTTGTCGGAAAACCCATCTTCTCAGCTTGCTTATTGAGATAGCGAAGTTGGCTCCGTGTAATGAACTCCAATCTTTTGCACTTCTCCCCTGCTCTATGATCGCCCTCTCTCAACTCGACAGCGAAGCTTTTCAAGCAATCGAAATGATGTGATAAGATTTTGACCCGAGGTAGAACATAGAACAGGTCTCTAAAACTCCCGTTGTACCTGTTTGCAATGCCAGGTAACGTGATGTTGTAACCGAGGCTTTGGAAGGCTTTGAAAAGAGACCCAAAGGCCATTGCGTCGCATGCCGAGTGTTCCTCAATTGATGTCAAGTGTTCTCGGCGGCCCAAATCTACAGTGCATCTGCCTCTGGCCAGAGCGTCGTAAAGTATTAGATAGGGCTTCAGGTATTCCTGGACTAACGCCATACGGTTCTTCTTGATTGTCTCTGAATCACCTTTTGTTAGCGTACCAAGGGCATCATGAACGAAGCTTCAGTCCGGCTTACCCATCATGTTGTCGGGCTGCAGGTGGAGGATCGAGTCCATTGGGAATGTCCAGGAGTTATCCAGGTGTGTGGCACGCTGAGACCTGGAATTCACATCAAATGAGCAAGGCAGCTCTAGCTTTCTGTCTGGGTCCAGACACGCAGTCGCATCTGATATACAGCTTGAAAGCTCATTCGTCGGCACTCCATATAGAAGCGTGCCATCTTCATGAACGGTACAGTCTCGCGTGATGGTGACCATCATCTTCTCGAAGAGCTCAATGTGACCCAGCTCCCATGCCACACACAAAAGATACGGATCATCCGTTTGGGAACCGACAGCATCGATCCATCGATGTGCATAAGGCCTAAGAAGGGCGGTGGCATCGTACTTCTCGGTGAGCGTTAGAAGATCGTAAAGGTCTCGGACGGACAATGTTTCCGGCGTGACGTGGAATTTTCCGTGGATGATACTCAGAAATATTGCCATCGCCCTGGCCCCATCCTCGGGTAGCCTAACGACCCATTTTGCGTCGTCTGAAGGTTTTGATTCGGCGAAACTTCCATACAGCATTCTTTTGAAGACCGGAGATGATCGTGCGAGTGATTTGGAACACACCCTGAATCGTGCCATTTCTGGGCCGACGTGGAGCATCAAGTCGCCATCGCTGTCATAAACTCCATTTTCTGTTGTCAATGGGAGGCTCTGAGAAGCCGGCGTGGATCCCATTGTGATGCGTTTTTTTCTTTCTTTCTTTCTAGCCAATCGAGCGTCGGTGAGCAAATGATGTGGTTGTTGGAGGTGCGTTTGCTGGTTGCGAAGTTCAAGGTTTGAGTTGAGAAAAAAACACCTGATGAGTCTGAGTCGCTGCGCGACACTTTATGTGGGGCGGTTTCACGCATTACACGTGTCTTCAGAACATTACCTGGATCCCTTGATAAAGAAACTGGGTGTTTTTGCCAGTGGTTTGCGAAAGCAGCCGTGGACTTCGATTGAAGCTGTCAAAGTCTCAACAAACTTTGACTGAGATGAAGGTGTGGTAAATGGGCATCTTGTCACTTGAGCCTGCCCCTGCCACCCATTAAGGTTCAAACTCTCAATGTGTCCGTCGCTGTTTTATCAGCGGACGCACCAGTTGACCGGAATGATGACCAAAAATGCAGTGATCACTTGATAATCGCACCTCTTATCAGGCTTCCAGTATGGGATCTCAGTTCTTGGTACCACCAGCCTTGTTGTCTTCGTCTAGACCATTCTTCTTCGTTTGCCTCTGACGGTGTTCCAAACGCTCGGGCCGTATGAGATCAGTCTCGGCAATCAGCCGCTCCTCTCCTAGACGACCTCTATTTATGCGTTGCAAAATATCAGACTCGCATTCATTGTGACCCTTTTCTATCAGGAACTATATCCTGACGATTCCATTGTTGAGACGCCAGGTTTGGTTCGGACTTGCCTTCGTTCTGCATGATGCCCAGGCCCCTGTGGCAAGAACCAGCCATCAAGGAACCTGGTAATAAGCTCTCGCAGTCGAACCATTGGACTTTCGTGCATATTCGACGCTCTTGAATACCGCTTTTGGCCGTGAGTTGATAGTAAAGATTAAGATAAGGATCCATGATAACCTGAATGATATCTTTATGAGTTTCGCCAAAATATTCGACTAATTACTAGTCAGAATATGACTATTGATGAGGGATTCCACGCGAAGCCAGTACTTACCAAACAGCCCTAGCGGAAGGCCTCAAGGTCAGAGAATTGAAAGTAGAGAAACAGCTCATGTTCACTGTCATCATATCACTGTCATCATAGTTATAGATGACTTTTCTCACGTTGCTCTCGAAAATAGCATGATGTCCGGTAACCCAAGCAAGGCACATGAGGTGAGAGGAGTTTGCATCGTCAGACCATGTAGATGCTCTTATTATCTATCCCTTGACCCAGGGTCGTACGATGGACAAAGCGTCGCACTTTCCAACGATGACGACCAACGCGGACAGGTCTTGGATATGAAGCTTCGTCGGTAAATCTTTGGAACAGCTGTGAACAATGATGAGAAAGACTAAAAACTGCTTGTGGTTATTGTCTGAGATTCCAAGTACCCACTTGCTCCCATCTGTGGGCCGAGTCTCCGCGAGGCCCAGGAAGAGCATCGCCTTGAACACGTATGAGTGGCGACCAAGGGCCCTAGAACAGACAATGTAGGTAATGCGTTCAGACAACCCGTCCCATCCACAATGAGATGAATGTCGCCATCCTCCTCCACCATGGTGACCGTCTGAGGGCCGATGTCATCGTCAAGCTTCGTTCTTTCGGCCTGGTAGCGTGTCATTCTCACGTCAAACTGCTGTTATGATAGAGAGCTTGACATGCAAATACGATTGGCTATCCCCTTCATAAAAGTAAAATGAGACCTCAGAATTGCTTATGTAATGTTTGGGACCAAAGAGTTCAGCGCAAGCTTCTCGGCTGAAATGACCCCAGGCTCCGGCCGAGACATGCATGTAGGTTCACGCATACAAATAGATAGCGATGGCAACCAGGAATCCCTCATAGGTCAAGTTCCTCTCGAATAACTCCGCCTTTCAACGCCCATACAGCAAACCCAGCCAATTCATTCCAATCCCGTCTTGACTGTCTGCCGCTCCAAGTGCTTCTTCTGCTGAGGATGGAGGACAACGGCAGATCCACTTGCATACTTTTCTATCATCATTCGTCTCTCCTGAAGATCCTTGTGACACTCCGAGAGATGGTCATGACTACGTAATGTCATAAGGTCGAATTCTTCAAGCTTTCCCTCGAGGTCCAAAACGCTGCCGCGATATTGCTGGACTGCGTCTTTCGAAGGCTGTCCCAGCGTTGTACGGCGGAAGCTCCTGATCAGGCTACCAAGTAGCATGCTGTCGCACTCGTCTTGATCACCGGGTATGGAACAGCGGCGGTGGCCATTTGCGAGGTCGTCATGCAGGGTAACGAAAGGCTCCATCATCCCAAGGACGGATTTGGCGCGATGGTCCTTAATTTGATCTGCTCGAGATACACAATTAGCCTTTGCTCAGAACAGGTGGAAAGAGGCGGTATCCAAAAGGCGCCGACATCGACGGTAAGATACAACAACCATGGTACTCACCAACGATTTCCATAGGAATCAGGTCGCCCAGATACTTGTCAAGGTCCTGTGGCATCGCGGCAATCTCCTCTCCACGCGCATTGAAGTTCATGAAAGGTTCTGGGACGATGGAAAGTCGACCATCTTTGGAGATAGAAGATCGGCTAGTGATGGACCACAGCGCGTACTCGAAGGTAGGAATGCACCCGAAATGCAATGCAATATGAAGGGTCAATTTCGCTTCGTAGATGTCCTCTGGCTCGAGGTCTGGAAGCCAGTAATTGACCCATGGTCGAAAGATTTCGATGCAGTCGTACTTATCCGCAATGGCGACCAAGCCTGAGAGGAGGGGAATGGAGAGGCGTTGTGCGACCTTCTTGAAATTGCATTGCAGTGCAGAATGTTCAACACCACCTCAAAATGGGCCGGTTCGTCTCCGGGAAGGTGTACGATCCAGACTGAATCTTGCTTCGACGACTCGGTGGATGGACGGGACTCGGCAAAGGGACCGAAGAGCATCTTGTCAAAAACTGGCGACGCGCGTGCGAGGGCTTTGGAGCAGACGAGAAAGGTTGACGGGTCGCCGGCACGGATGTCGCTGCCAACAACAAGGTACAAGTCGCCCTTGCTGTCTAATATCTTGGTCGGCGTCGGTATGGCTGCTTTGTCGAGGCGAATGCGCTTGGTCTCCCGCTCGTCGTCATTTGCCATCTCCGCTGGTCGGCATCGTTCGTTGTCGTCCATGATGCGGTTGTTGTTCTTTCGTAGTTGTCGTCTTTCGGGTTTGAGGGTGGGAGATTTTGTGGCAGGGAAAGAGGAAAAGCGACCTCCCCCTTCCAAGATTCGGAAGGAACAACCCGACGGAGAAAGCCTGTGAGGTAGTAGAAGGGAAGGAGCGCGCCTACCTTACAGGGAGGCAGGCACCTGCCAGAGAAGATTTAGTAAGGAGAGGCCAGGCGGAAGGAGCTTGCCAGAGCAAAAGAGGGAAAATGGACACGACTTGTAGTCGACAACTTCCAAATGGCCAGTGAAATCATGACCAGGGTTCAGTATCAGTAGTAGGTGTTTCTTAGATGTCCGTGGCGCTATCTATGCTACTGAATCTTTGTGTTCTCCGGCCCGAGAAAGTTTGATCCGCCTTTGCCATGCAAAATCAAATGCTCTGCCTTTTCAAATCACACTACAGAACCAAATTGCGAAGTTGCAATCCCAATGCAACGCCATTTTGCCCTATGTTCTCCTCGCGAGACTCTCACGGAGGATAGTCAAATCCAGCTTTCTGGGCTGGGGCCTCCAAACGAGTCCAATGTTCCGCCTTCGCTTTGCAGAACATGTTTGTTTCCTTCTACCCCCAAAGTATCTTGCCCTCCAAGGTCAAGTTGCTCATCAATTGAATGAGTTGCTCGCGGGGCCTGTGGTAATGACCCTCATCGCAACCTTGCGGAAGCATTTCCCCTTTTCCTAAATGGATTCTTAGTCGTTTCGCGATTTCCCGGTACGCTTTCGCCGCGTCTTCGCCGATCATGTTCACCCTGATTGACTGGTAACCATGAAGGAGATATTCCGGACAAGGATGTTGCATTCAACGAGCATCGCAAATGCCTGTCTTCTTCGCCTGCGCTTCCATCCGGGCTTGGTATTGAGGTTTCAGCACGAGCGCCTCTGCTGTCTTCCGTTCGTTGTCTGCGGAAATGTTGTCCCGATATTTCGTAAGATTTCTCCTGCAGATGCTATGCTCAGTTTTGTCGTTGCTCTCTCCGACGAAGATTTTCAATGCAGCGAGCTTGTCTTCCAGTTGACGCACAGGCCCGCGATGAGCTTCCACTGGGTCTTGAGCCATGATATCAATGCCCTGGAGCAAGCACTCCCTGATCATAGATCCCAGAGCTACTGAGTCACATCTCATTCCGGCTTCCAGGAGATAGGGCTTCACCCTAGCTCGGTAGCGGCATAGTCCCTGCTCGGAGATGAGAGATTTGTAGAGTTGAATGTACGGCTCAAACTGAATGCTCACCAACTTGTGGCGCATTTCACGGATGGTGTCTTTGTTCCAAGTTAGCATGATTGATCTGCAATTTACCACGAGAGATTCCGCTCACCTAGAGCGTCTGAGGGTCCCCAATTGTCCAGATCGGCTGCGAGCTTGATGTGGTGTACGCTCCATGCACCGGTTTCCTTCGATCGGCAATTCTGTTCATACGACAGGCTACCTTGCTCGTCGATGAAGGATGCGTGGATGATTTTCGTCATCTTTGATTGGAAAGTCTCCTTGTGGCCAAGGTTCCATGCGATGTACAATGCCAATGGCAAGCTTTCCGATGTCTTGATACCTTTGAGCCAGGGCTTTGCCCATGGGCGAATGAGGCCGATGCTGTCGTACTTGTCAAGCAGTACCAGGAGTAGGTACAAGTTGTCAATTGCGGTTCTCGACGGTACTTGGTCGAAGTGACCATGCATGACATGGAGAAAGATCTTGAAAGAGTCAGGTCTGTCGTCGGGTAAGTCGACCACCCAGTTCTCCTTCTTTGTTTGGGCGCTTAAGGACTCCGCGAAACCCCCATAGAGCATTCTCTTCAGCACCGGCGACGATCTTGCTACCGTCCTGGAGCAGACGAGGAAGATGGTGGTCTGGTCAGTATGATCGGATCCAACTCTGAGTTGCAAATCTCCAAACTCCTCAAGAACGACAGGCGTGGTGGGCCCTGTTGTTTCCAGCTTGGGTCGCTTTTTGTCAGGCTCACTCATTGAATTCTCCGAATCCCCCATGATGATGAGCAAGAGACGATTGATGAAAAGTGTTTCCGCAGTTGGTGTTGAAGGTCAAGGTTGCAGTTGATAAGGTTGTAAATAATGAGGCTGTGCTTCGGGAGATTGAATTACGGTTGCTTTTGCTGTAGAGCCTGTAGAAAGTTTGGAACATTCCAAGTTGAATCCGGTAGGCGCATAGGGAGGCGTCTATTTATAAAATAATCTAGCCTAGAGAAGAGAGAAAAGTAGGCAAGAGCCTCTCCTTCCAACGCAGAAGAAGACGGAAGGTCTCGGAAGGAGTTAATCGGGACTCGCAACTCGAGGTGTCCACGCAAATCTTCCAACGCCGAGCCTTCCCATAGACAGGGCTGTCAAATGCAATGTTTCATACCCTCATGACTTTGGCAGGCCCGTCTTACTTGCCTGTTTCGTCAAATACTCCTTATGCTTAGGCTGCGCAAATGACATGTTCCCCCTCAGCATCAACGACCTCTCAACTCCTTCCCGCAGCCCAGACTGCAGGACGTGCTCGCATGCGCTCATGCTGAATCCGAATCGGGAAGGCGCCGTCTGACCAAAGCTGAATGAGGAAGTGGTCGGGTGAGCGTAGCCTGAGTGGATTGTGTACAGCTCCAGCTTCAGCATCACCGACTGAAGGTGGGACGCACTCCCGCGGTATGCCTTGACGGGATCATTCGCCGTGAGGTCCAGATTCTGCGTGGCGAAGGATCTGATGAGAGACCCCAAGAGTAAGCTGTCGCATCTCTTTCCGCCGGATGGATCTCCTGGCGAGGACATGCATCGGTCGCCACCCTTCAGAGCGGCGTAGAGGTTGAGATACGGATCCAGCATGGCGATGAGCAGAGTCTTTCGTATTGATGCGGCGTCGTCTGCGCATAATATCAGCTTTTGGCTCATCCTCGGGTGCGGGAAATTTACCAAGCAACCCGTCCGGTATTAAGCAGTCCAAATTCTTGAGTTTGTATGTGTAACTCTCCCTGTTCTCCCCCGCAAACCCAAACACCAAGTCCTCCTCATGATCCAAATGGCATTCAGTCGCAATCTTCATAGCCATGGCGTTGAATGTTTGGTAATCTCCCAACTCATACGCCACCCCAAGCAATAATGGGTTTTGCATGCTCGTCTTTACGCCCTCCATCCAGCCCTTCGCCCAAGGTCGCGTGATATTAGTCGCGTCGTATTTCTCCGTGACAACAAGAAATGTGTACAACTCTGTGAGCTCGATCTTCTCAGGCACTTTGTCAAAAGCGCCGTGAACGATATTCAGCATCATCTCCATGGGCTGCTGCCGGTCCTCAGGTAAGTCCACCGTCCATCCGTGGTCGACATCCGAGTGCCCTGATTCAGCGAAGCCCCCATAGAGCATCTTTCTGAACACTGTTGACGCGCGGGCGAGCGCTTTCGAGCACACAAAGTAAGTCTTTGTCTTTTCTTCGACACCCGCGCCAACGTGCAAATAAAGGTCGCCATTTGGGTCGAAGCTGACAAGTTCCCCTGAAATTGGTGATGGCGGGTCATGGTTGGTGCACCCGTCCTCGTCCATGATCGCCATGCTTGGTTCTCGGCAATAACTTCATTCGGCAGTTCAGAGTCGTTTTGTTGATTAGTGAAATGGCAGGAACCAATAAGCCCGAACTCGTTCCTCTGAAGACAGATACTCGGAACGGTCAGGTGAAAGTTTGGGACAACACCAGGTCTGGCCTGGTTCCGCTTCCGAGGGGTGAAAGAGTGGTCAGATTGTGGCCCGTGCACGTCGCAGGAACCTGTGTAACCGGGGAGATTTTCCCTCGCGAATTTGAAACTGGCGAGGTGGATGACCTGATCCAACGTGTACTATGTGTTGAAATGTGCGTATGCTTCGTTGAGCAGTGAGTCAGCTATCGCGAAGGTGATGTGTGGAAATGGGATCGCATCGACGTCCAACATCAGCTGAACTAGACGGGAAAGGGCTGAGATTCAGCTCAAGATATAAAAAGGTTCAGCATGATCCCGGCCCCCGAGGCCCCCGCGTTCGCGCGCCGGGCCCCGCTTAAAATCCCATTGGCCTCTCGTATTCCGGGGTTTCCCAGCCCCCGATTCGGCATCCCACAGCTCCGCGGGCCGGGACGCGTCCTGCGCGCGTGGCTTGCCGACCCGATGCGCCTTGGAGCCGCTGGGCTGAGCGACTTTTAGAAGTGTGCCTCAAATCAGGCATTCGAATTTTTTTTATTTTTTTTGTCTTATCTCGAGATGGGGCTGCAGCTTCAAATGGATTCCGCCATGACTCGGAAAGTGGGAAATAGCCAAGTTGTGTGCTTGGCAAAGTCATGATATGTTCACAAAGTAGCTGCCACCACGGATTTCGGCCATGTTGCTAGTAGATATAAAGTGAATTTATTTTGTCGAAAGTTTTACCACAACGAAACCGGTCACAGTGTTGGTCGGACATCATCTTACATCACGATCGGACCCATCGAACTCGTTGTTTAGTAAGAATGCACAGTCTTGTTGCCCAGTATGTCCGCGGCAGTAATTACGCCAATGCGACTTGCTTTCAAACAGGACCTAAACTTTGGGTAAAGCCTGACCACAAATCTGCAGACTTATGCGGTTTATGTTTCATCAAGTTTAGGCCCGACTGAGAAAGCGCAATTCGATGTTCAGAAGCAAGCAGGGCGAGGAATAACTGTGAAGTTGAGCTAAGTTGTCTGAGCAATGAGTCAACGATTTGTTGCGAGTCTGGTCTAGGTACTCTCTGGCGCAAATGGGATGGGGCTAGATGGCTCTAGTACCCCCGATTGATATCCAGCAGCTTCGTGTCAGGTATACCTTCCATGTATCATCCTTTAGCGGAAATGATTAACAGTCGGGATGATAGACTAATATCCCGTTCAGTTGTTGTCAATACTTCCAGCGACGATACCTCTCTTCGTAGCGCCTGTCGTCCAATTGCTGTGTCAAGCGAGTAGTTCTTGTCCCTTTTATCATCAAAGTCGATTGATTGTCCAGGAGCGCACGTAACGACACTAACATTGGTATTTAAATACCACAGGTCTTGTTGAACTTCGGCCCGGTACGGTCAAGCGGGCTATTTAGATGCCCACAGTTAAGTGGCATAACGTTGCAAATGGTTGAGCAGAATGTCATTTTCTGACGGCTATGATGCTCGTGTCGCTTGAGAGTTCAAGCGAAAGACATGGATGTGATGTTTCCCGGTTTACAAGCGCTCCTCCCTCAACTCACATCATCCGTCATCGTCCATGAATGATGTCTTGATAATACTTTAAACGAAGGATGATCGATTAGATGATTTCATTTTCCAGGCCAGAGCTTGATATGAAGAACACAGCTCTCGATACCAACCTTACACCGTCAACTTACTAGATCTTTTGAGTGAGGCGCTGTAGCTCGGAGTCTGTTGGACGCATCTTGCATTTAATTGCTAGCATTTCCTGTCGAAAGGGCCCTTGGAAGCTTACGATAGAGCGAATCTGTTGCCGAAGCGCCGTCACATATTACGCAACGGCTATCTTGTGTCGAGCGGCATCCAAGCAGTCCGGGATATTGCTCTGCATGGTAAGACACTTGGATATATAAACATATCGATAAATCTGTCAATTTACTTCTTGAACAAATGGAAAGCCTGCCAGATGGAACTGGCACACTCTTCTCCGTACCAGGTATCAACCAGCCTAGTGGAAATTGAAAGCCACCCATCCATGAAGCCCTGGACGACAACTAGAGATGCTGACGTTGCAATGGAATCAAACAATCGTCCTTCTTCCTAGGTGTATTGATGGGATAGTAAGAAAGAAATGCCGAACATCACTTTGCAGTTGGGTCGATCGTTGCTAACGGGAGCTTAGTTATATTGGTGCGCATTTAGCTCATGCCGGAGATCAAAATCCTCTTGCTATAGAAATCAACAACAAATTGATTCGGCTGTCCTGAGGCCAGATTAGGATCTTGACACAATTCTTTTATACATGTCCAGTAGCACACCAGGCCGCTGCATGTTCTTTCATGTTTGGACTGGCTAGGCGTATAAAAATGGGCACCCTGAACCATTTTCATATCCGTCAAGCCACAGGCAATGGCATTTGGTTAGGCTGTCTGAGTAATGCATATGCTCAATCTAGGGCCTTGATAAGCAGTCGCCATTGTCAGCCCCAAACATGCAGTTAGGAGTTTGGCTCGATGCTAATGGATATGTGAGTGAGGGCGTATTGAATTCCCACGTATTCATAATAGTTAAAACTAAGAATGTCGGTACTGCCAGACGAGTCCATAACATTGATGATCGGATGACGGCTAATCCAAAAGATTTACACACCGGCCGGTCTGGGTTCATCTCGTCATTGTGACATCAGGGTCAACATATATTCAAGTATTGCGTACTGAGGTCAGTCGTTCTTCATCGTCCGCTCTAGCCGTCGTTAAGAATGTATTTGTCATTCCAACGCCACGAGGGAAACACCGCACAATATATTCTTCCTGCCAGAAGCATAGCATGGGTGGTAGCTGGGGCACACAATGCTGACACAGAACATTGTATCGTGTGATATGAGACTTCTGGAATGGCATTCACATTTCTCGCTTGTGTTCCATAACAGAAAGACGTTGCCCGGTCCGATTGTCGATTTTAAAGGAGACATCAATGCACGCAGCACCCTCCATATGCTCAAAAGCCGCGCCGTCGGTACCTAGCTAAAGCCCCTTAGGCAAGTCTTCGGACAAGTACCCCGATATAAGGGCTCAGAATGGCTGTGATAGTCAACCTTGCATTAAGCCAGAAATTGCCGCTATTCTTGCCCCTTGAAAGCATTTCTCTATGTCATAACGCAACTCATCTAGCACGCATATTGTCGAGTAGAGATGAATTTCCGACTTTGAAGACACCACATTCAGCTTTCATATGCTTGGGACAGCTGAATACTCCGCTAACTAGAGTTAATAACAGGAGACCTGGCCGTCCAATCTCAAATCAATTGCCAGTGCCCAGACAACGCATACCCAAGAAGTGCACCAACGCGGTACGTTGCGAAGGGAGCTACCCGCTGCTGCACCCATGCTTGCGTTTAGCCCAACATTGTTGCACGATTGTGAGGATGCAGACTTTGGCCACTCTTATACTAAGGTCATGTTTATTCGGATGTTGAGGCTGCAATCATGCTCCACGAAGCTGTACATCAAGATGATTTGAGACAACGGTCATCCGGCGTCACTGCCTACTTTTTCATGTATAATACACCAAAGGAAAGGAATCCAGACACGGACAGCTCTATCCCAGCCAGTTGGCCTTTTGTCACTCACCATGCCCACTGATAACAAAGTTGCGAATCCGAGATTTAGACTCGGACGCGACCAGTACACGCATCGGTCTTTAAGAATCCAGAGGGTGCACCAGCTGCCCATAGATTGCCGCAGAGCAAAGATCTCCTCAGTGCACACAGGCCGTAATTTGTACTCCGGACCTGGTCTGCACATAGTCAAAAAGGTGTTGAAGTACTTCAAATCCTTCATAAAGGCTGTGGCCATCCGTAATCTCCTAGTATTTAAACACTGTCAGTTCTGTGAAGTGACCATTCCGGATTCAAGAATAGTGGATGCGTCCTCATCCATTCAAATTCCCATCTCGGCCAGAGGAAGACCAAGTCTTCCAATAAGCTCAAGTAAAACAGTAAACCATCACGTCAAGATCTCGCGGATTGATATTCCCAGTTCGGAGCTCGCATATATTCCCCTTGAAGCCACGCAGATACTTATATGAAAACGTCCAGCGAGCGTTTTGTGGCTTCGGAAGGAATCCCTTTTGCTGATGTCATCTGAATCAAGAGGCCACATAGCCATTAACTCTTTAGGTTATACCACAAGAGTCATTATGTCTTCCTCAAAATTGGCTGTCTCAATTAGCTCAATTAGGAAAACAACGTTATTTTATATGCCTCGGAAGAGGTCTGCAATAGACCATACACATAGCGAATTCTCAACTTCCAGCCCTCCTCACTTGTCTCGACCTCCTAATATACCAAGACAGAGGAAGGACGGCATGGAAACGCAGCTATCTCAACCGACACTGCATTCATCCCCGTCCCATGCTGCACTCGTCAGCCCTAGAGGGCAGGCTTCAAAGTTAACGCAGAGATACCGGGAGATCCCGACAGCCTGCAAACATTGCACAGTACCCCGCAATTGGGTTTGTGGTGGTGACGTTTTTATTCAGGGAGGGGGTCGCAATATATACCTCCAATCTCGCAAAACCCCAAACAATCAACAATCGTGGTGCCCTTGTCCTCCAGCTGAGGCCATCCTGACCCAGATGTCTTTAGTATTTAAGCCCCATCAAAGCAATGGGACTTCTTCTCCATGGGCAAATTTGCGGCAGTGGGGTTCAACACATGGTTGAGCTCTGACTTCGGAAGCCCGACCTATGAAAGTGTCAACCTCGAACACTTTGACTGCTCTTGTCTGCTCACGCCATCTCAAGAGACGCGACGGCCTTGAACCCATCAGTGTTCTCTGTGAGAAACGACAGGAATACTTCGGAAGAAACAGAGACGAGAATCTGAGATG